AGACGGAATTCTTTGAAAGTTTGTGAGATTGTTTAATGGAATTCAGATTTTTCAATTATCTCACTGTTCTTGAGGGAATTTTATTATTATGTACATCGTAGCTTATGTGGGATTGTTGTTTAGGTCATGTTAATTTGAAGAACACTGTCAAATTTTCAGATGGCAAATTTTTAACATGAATTACACAATACAAAACATTGTCATTGATTTATACAAATCTATAATTCTATGCACAGCAAATTTGTTTGATATTAAAATTAAAATCTATTGAGTTTTTTTTTTTTTATATGAACAATATTTTTTATTCAGAATGTCTGAATGGGATTGGGAACAGGCTTAGCCTATGTAAAACCCCTCTCCCTATTGAGTTATAACTGCATTTGTATTAAAGTTGATAGACAAATGGTTGTATTGCATTGGGAGCAATTGCATTTTAGTTTATTTATCTAACAGCTTTTAGCTCATCTTTCCACAATCTTTTTAAGCCAAGAGCTAAAAACGGGGATGTTGAGGTTAACTTAAAGAGACTAAGTGTTGATTTAAGTGTTATTCTTTTACAACCAGTTCTTTGTTTTAAAGAGTTGACTAGTAGAGTTGTTTAATAATATACATGTACAGATGTAGTAATAGCTGAGGTCTTCAAATGGTTCAAAGATTCTACTAAATACTAGAAAACTTAATCTTCACTCTTGTTTAGAAATGATGTACCAAGTTTATTTAGACAGCAAATTTGTCCAAGCTCTTGCAACTTGGCAGAAGAGAGATATTTTCCTTCTTGGTTCAATATTTGGGTGTAACTTGCTTAAAATCCATTTTTGACTTCCTTCTAAACGATCCACTAAAGTAGGATCAACAGACAACACATTGTTTTTTGGGGGACTGTGTCAGATATTTACGAAGACTGAAAATGACTATAACATTATCAGGTTTAAGTTTCAATGTTTGTGTTACTTTTTCCCCTCCTTTAATCACCATGTTTACAAAGGGTTTTTCTTTTGTTTACTTGATTGATATAAAATATTTTGTCGACAGATTTTTCTGGCTGCTTTTTTTTTTTGCCTTCCAAGAATTAAGAATGTTAAATGGCATATCAGCATTGCCATGTTTTTAATTACATGTACGGTACCATACCATTACTCATTTTCAGAATTCGTATAGCCTTTGATGAACATTTGAATTATTATTTGTGTCCAAATAAAGTATCTAAAAGTGGTCATTTTACGTATGTTGAAATGAAAACTATGTCATCCTAAAATGTATGTACCGGTAGCTGCTTCTTGGCCAGTCTGACCTAGAACTACTGGGTGTGGTTAGGAAGGGCATTCATCCAACTTTATGTCAGAAGAAACCTGACCGGCACTAAACCCACTAAGGGTGTGACGACTAAGCAAAACTTGAACCGGTTAGTCGGCGGCTAAAAAACCGAACCGATTCGGTTTAGTCGGTAATGAAAACTAACTGAAAAATATTAGTCTTCCATAGTCTACAATACACGCTAATATACTGGCCTTTATATACGGAGCTTAAAACTGTAATGGGGACATACATACAGTTCTATGTTTTATGTGTCCAGTACATTAAAAAATTTGGTTTTGTTTGTACTATGTAGTTTGTTCAAATCTCCTGTTTAACCTTTTTAATAAAAGTAATAAACACAACATATAAAAAACTTCAAACAATGACGTATTGATCAATAATATTAGTGATAAACCGATGAGAAAGCGTATCTGGGCATCAGATCAGTGCACATGCCTATTGACCTAACCTGGAGGATTGCTTGTTTCTGATTGGGCACTTCAACCATTGACCTTAGCGACCGACCAATCAAATAACGTATTCTTAAAATAACTTCATTAGGTATTCAAAAACACACTCGTTTGTAATCGCGAGAATATCCACGACCGATTACGGAATATAGTAAATAAAGTATACTGTCTCGTTATTATTATTGTCGACCATTTACCAATGATGTAGCTTATTGCTTATTCGCCCCCATAATTTTCGATCGTTAATACATGTATCTTTTTAAAAAAAAACATGTTATAATATTCGGGCGACTGGTTTATATCATTATCATGCTGTATTTTTTAGACGACTATCGATTTCCCGAAACTTGATCATAGTAGGGAAGGGGTATAACATAATTTTGCAGAATCAGACAACGATTATTCTCATTTGTATTCTATAGTTAGTAGCTGGGAAGTTTATAAATGTATGGGCTGGCATGGCAAGCTTTTATATCAGCACAATCTAACCAAAGCAGCGCTTTTTCACCAATGACCAATGACCCCCTCCACCCTCCCTCCCCGATCGTTAAAACCTGTTACACACACGCAAACATGTACATTCCTCAGAAACACTTAAATTTCTTCAGGCCATGGGCAACATAAGAGTTTGTGATCAGTTGTCCGGTTCTCCACGGAACATTTCCAGCCCAGAAAACGTACTGGAGATGCTGCTGCAAACCCCCTGCAGCTATTGACAATGTAGTGAGTTTTTACTCAAGAGCTGAAATATGTTTTATTTCATTACTACATCATATTCATATAAGATCTATTCTCTGTAAATTTCATAGGACATTCGTGAAACTTGTCCCTTGGTTAAGTCAAAAGTGGTCTAACACATGCGCTTTAGATCATAAGGTGTGTATGTCATACAATTAAGTGGCGTGGTTTCCATTACAAGCATGAAGATAACATGGTCTAGTGTTGTCTATCGAATCTCACGGATTCTCACGGACTCGAATAATTGAAATAAAACTGTATCATTTGTTAGTCCCAAAATTACGTAGTTTGTGTTGAGTGGACCTTAAACCTCATTTCTCTCTCAAGTCAAAATCAACCCTTGATGACGACTGAATGGAATATATAAACTTTTGTAAAGATGACCAAGCATATGCATCACCATATGTTCGTCCCAAAATGACCTAGTTTGTGCCCAGTGGACATTAAACCCAATTTTTGTTCTCTCTCTCACGTCTAAATCATCCTTGCTAATGATTAAATGGAATATATTAAAGATACATTATGTAAGATTTAGATAAAGAGCTGACCATTCTTGCTATAATAGCTCAAAAAGAGATAGTGTAAAATGAAAATATTGGAAATTTCATTCAAATTACTTCATTCTGAGCCAAGTTATCACCCGTTTGTAGTTTTGACAAGATGTGTGCATAGTGGTAACCAGGGCACTGGTATATTCGAGACTTAGCCTCACTTTCCCATTTTTAAATTAAATTTTTTAAATAGCGAACTGTTCCAACTAGTTAAAATCTTGAGTATCCGATGCCATTGAGAGTTGATTATGGTCTAGTTTTGTTAATAAATGTCTAATTAATAGTTTAGATAGCATTTCAGGCCTAAAAAAAGTCCTGCAATAGGCAGATTTAGCTCTTGCATAATGTATGTTTAAATTTTTAAAGATGTCCATACATATTCTTCATCTGGGGTATTGATAAATGGAACATTTTATCCCAATTTTTTCTTCTTTTTTATTATACCTGTGCCGGTCATTTTTATTTTTTATTTTGTTAGTAGGAAGGTTGCTAGTTGTGGGTAACATTCAACTTTGGTCTTTAGTCCCTGCCAAGAACAAACTATAGCCTCTCAAACTTTATTGATAAATGTCTAATTCAATAGTTGGTATAACATTTCAGGCCTAAAGAAAGACCTGCAATAGGCAGATTAGCTCTTGCATAATGTATATTTAAAAAAATATTTTTCCAATTTGCCAGGTTGGTATCAACTGAATCAACCTAATATTTTTGTGGGGATGTATCAGGGTACTAACCCATCCCACAGAAAAAATTTGGTCCATATCCCCGACCCAAGTGTTGTCACCCTCTGCATGGTGTTCTTAATAATTTTCATATTTGGTTTTTAAAAGCTTTTAACTGTTTTAACACAAAATCTGTTATAGGCCTACATTAACTTTGGTTATACTATAGACCTTCTACTCTAAACATTTTTATGAAAACAAATTTTCACCTCACAAGACCAAAAAGTTTGCCTCATTTGAAGTAGTATAGCTTAAATACATGTATCTTACAATTTTGAGAATATCTTATACGTAAATATATAGTATCATAAGGGTTGGTGTAAAATGGCTTTCTTTATCCTCTATTCATATGTAGACCTGTGTACTAGCAAAGTTACAGCTAAGGATTGGATTAGTCTGTAGAGCAGTTTAAGGCAGGAACACTTTTTAAACCCAATGTAATCAAAACCAACCTATAGTAGACTGGGCTCACTGCCATCAAAATTTTATTAAAATTAAATAAAATTTTGGATTCTTGTTTGTTGATTAATATTTTTCTCTTTTGACATTACATCAACACAGTGAAAATGTGTTAAAGATAATGTATTTTAGGCAGGCAATCAAATTTTCCACACAAATTTTCAACAAGGACAGGTTATCTCCCCTAAAGCTAATCAATGCATAAAATCCAATGAATCAACATTATTATTTTTGACCCAAATCTAAGAGGTCTAGCCTTTTTGATGCGATAACCTAGATAGGAACAGCTCTGATGAACCACTGTGGGTGTATGTTTTATTGCCTTGCAACCTATTTTTATTCAAATATGAAAATGTTCCAAGTTTGTACAAAATATTATACCTGATGGCATTTAGCATTTAACCTTTCTCAATCTAGGTTATAGTGGTCTTAATTTTCTGTCTTTCACATATAGATTATTGCATTCAAATTAAGAACAACACTTCCCATTGTTGGTCTGACATTGTTTTTACATTGTAACATCTGAGAGTAAATTTTTTTAATTGACAAAATGGTTGCAGTACAGACTGCTCCTCAAATTTGGCATGACCTTTGCTTTAGATTCAGTTTCGAAGAGTTAAAGAATATCAGCAGACTTTAACTTTTAACCTGTTTATATTTTATTTTTTTAAACTAAAGCACATCTAGCTGTCTTAATGTAAATTAAATCCGTTGTTTATACAATTGTACTCATTTTTAAAGTGTTATTTTTTGTATTTTTATAGGCCTTTTCACCATGTCGGTTGTTTGTATTAGCCGCAAAAGTGCCTTCTAAGGTAAGAAGAATGACTTTAGTATTTGTTTTAGACAGTTAACTTTTTTTTATTGTGTCATTAAATTTCTCCTAGTAAGTAGTAAAACAAGATTTCAGTATTAAACACAAGATTTACAATGGCAGTTCATGTATTTTAATTATTGTATGAATTATTCAAAAGTTTACTAATACTAGTCTTTCAACCAGCTTTTTTGACTTTAGTAAAATTTGAAATGGCATAGTCATTAACATTATATTAGCAATACTCAATATAATTTATTGATTGTCCTATTACTTATTCAAAGGATAAACCTGTGTACTTTCTGTCTTTCTTACCAGTTCAGATAATGTATCTGGATTGTTTATGCATACATGTACACATATATTTGTAAGTGGTTACTATATTGTTGTTTACTTCGACTTCATTCAAAACATTCAAATTTATAGATTTTTATACCCCTACATTGAAATGTAGTCGTATATCGTCATCACCCCTGTCTGTTGGCTGTAGTCCACAATGTAATTTTACAAATCTTATGAATGTTATAACTTATTAGAGGATAAAGTTTTCATCCAATTGACTATACACATTGTCATTGTTTAAGCTTGTGAGATGAAGAAATCTATTGATTTTCAGTGATTTTCGATAATTACTGTCAAGAGTTATCATCCCTGATCAATCCAAAAAATCTTTTGGATGCTCTGAAGGCTAAAGATATCAGCTGATTAGCAGTGATTTCTGATAATTACTGAGCTACTGCCCTTGATCAATTTGAAGAATAGTGAAGGCTTAAAGATACATTCACACAAAAGCATTTATCAGGTAGTTAGTTCCAATAAAAGTAGGGCAATTTTGGTACACCCAATCTTACAAGAAAAATACTGGAATCCCCGAAAAACACTCTCGGGCTCGCTAAGACAAAAATGTTAGGGTATTCCTAAAATTCATCCTGTCTCCGCAAGAGCTTCTTAGGTGTTGATCTAAAGGCTAACAGTTGTGAGAATTGAAAGTCCAGTGAATAATGGGATTAAAGGCGGAAAAAGCAGTTGGCTAAATGGACTGCGACTAACGAAAAACAGAAGTTGAACATGGATTCTCCCTCGAACAAGTCACATGATAAACAAATAAGATAAAAATAAATTCTCACGGCATGGGATGGTTTTCTTCTGATTAAAAGATTTTGAGGGGAATTTGACACAAACTTTTGATAGATAAATTAGTTTAAATATGTTTTTAGTCCAAATGTACGTGTATCATATTAAGCAAATCACACAGTTTGTATGCGGGAAGGCATCTCTTCAAGAGGAAAAGAAGCAAAATGATTTTCAACGACTTCCAATATTGCGAACAGCTATAAAGCTATCAAGTCATTACCATCACATTTATTGTATAAAATTAATGAAGTAGTAAATGTTATAAATATGGCAGTGGGAAGAAGTACACATTTAAGGACCAGTGTAGCAGGACAGAGAAAAATAAGAGGGGCAAATTAAAACATATATTTAAAATAGTCTCTGAAAGTGCTTGAAAGTATTTTTAATAGATATTTTTAGCATCCAACTTTATATATTTTTAGTTGTCTTTTCCTGAACTATTTGATGTGTTTCAACCAAATTTGATCGATTGATTTATTGCTCGTCCAGATTTGTTCAAATAGTTACATTGTACAACTTGGCCCCAAAGGACATGCAAAGGATGATTTTTAGAGGCAAATTAAGACATTTGTAGCTTCTTTTTCTTTATATGTTGCCTGTTGGTGCTTAACACAGTGGCTTGATCCCATATTAGGTTGGGGCATAATAGCCAGGGCAGGGCAACCAAATAGGAAAAATATAGGGTTTTTTGATTTTTTTTTTCTCCTCAGATTTAGATAATTACTAACAAAATTGATAGATTTAAGAATAACATAGTGGCACCAACATTTGGCAAATTTATATTATGACTAAATAAAATTAAAACTCTTAAATTCACACATTATGGTACTATGAACTGATGAGGGATTAAATAAAATTAGTCCAAGCAAAAGAAGGAAGACACTTTTTGTTATTGAAATTTTGTCAATAATTGACGTAATTTAAAAAGCCATTAAAATTTTATTTCCTGGTTTATACTGAGTAATAGTAATACTAGAACAGTTTATTTATAAATAATAATTTGCATTCCAAAAAGACATGTGCTTTTCTCTACATTTCAGTTAGAGCATACTTTTCATTATTTGGATATCCAAGCCATAGAAAGTCGTAAACCCAATCAGGTAACTATTAATTATTTATCTTACAAATATATAATGAATTAATGATATGTAAATATATTAGTATCTATTATAATTATATTATATTTGAAACAAAGCCTGTGCATACCCGTACGCATACATGTACATCTGGGTTTTTTTCGATTGTCTCAGTACACTTTTGCAATATTTGAGCCAGTGATCTTTCATATGACTAATTTTGATCAGATAAAACAATCCATGTGATTTGTGATTTCTAATGTTGATTAATAATTCTTGGTTGATTCCTAGTTTATGTACATATTTCTATATTTACGACAAATCTGTTTGATTACATACATAATATGCTTTTAATATTTCTTCCATGCTGAAGATCACATTACTACAATGATCCACAGTGGCTTTTTTTGAAGGGTTGAATCTATAATAAATATACCAACAATGAAAAGAAAATTTTGTTTCAATAATGTTGATAATTTCATTTCTTTCAAAAGCACTTAAAGTGATAAGCTTATATATCTACTACCAGTACTGGTATAGAAATCTATACACTTTCCAGTAGCAGTACAGCATTAACAACCATTTTCTCTCTCTAGAATATGATAAATAGTTTTCTGTATTAATTGTAGATGTTCTACAAGTATTTATAAGTGTTAGAATTAAGTATAAATGAATAAAGTTAGAAGCGATTAGCTATCTTATCTATGAACAAGACTATTTAATCTTTTAATTGCAGCTTCAGATTACAGTAGATTCCAAAATCTACTCTTTTATCACCCAAGATGCTGATACAGACGAAGTTAATCACATGATAACACATATTGGTACCTCTCTAAAAAATATTTTCCCGTCTTTTCCACTAGAGTAAGTGTCAGTATTTACATGTATCATGACTGTATTAATTCTTTTAAAAAATGGATTTGTGATATTTGTTTACTTTTGTAATAAACTATGTGGCGATACAGATCATGTCAATTTAAAAAAGAGATCTAGGTAAATTAAAAATGATATATTCTTAAGTCACAAACTATATTTCAGATTTGATCATTTGTATGCGCCAATATCTAAATTGAGTTGTACATATCCATATCATTGGTGCTAAGTTATCACCTGATTAACATTTATACAGTGTTATGTCCAGGAGACAAATATGCCTATAAATCTATGTAAATAACATCAAAAGTGTGTATGTTTGCCCATCACGCTTCTTCTCCAACCTCCACCCCCATGTATGTGGTATCAAATTAACTAGCATGACCCATTGAGTGTTTTATGCCATCGAATTTGGGCCCCTGTCAAATTTGGGCTCTGGGCAAAGCTGGGTATCCTGCTAGTTATCAATAATTTATAATAATTACTTGCATAGTTGTATTACTTGATCACTTGAAAAATCTTGTGGTAGCCCTTGAGGCTTGACTTGAAATTTTTCAGGAATAGTTAATTTTGTACTAAAGAAATTCCTTATTGACTTTATTTGCTTGACTTGATTGTTCACTAATGTCTTATTGGTATGGAAGCCTGTAACTACCATTTGTAATGTGAAAGTCGAAAAAGTTGAAATTGCATGTATTCAAATATGACCTGGAATGTAGAGACTACAATAACTTCCGAGGAGAAACTCGAAAAGTCGACAGCACAAAAACAAGCCAAAATGATTCGTTGCTAATATCGCGATGTCTTAATTTCCTAATTTCTACTTGGCGCATTGTTACTGACATGAATAAATACGCTAATATCATTACGGTATGCCAAAATGCAGCCTGAATATAGTGAAAAGTAACTAGAAGTCACAACAAAACAAGGGACACTAATATTGCAGTGTGTTTATGTATTAAGTTCCTATTTTCGAGTCGATTTTTGCTTGGGGTGCGTGCTGCCGCCTTACATTTTGTTGTAAAGTCTACTTTTCGTCTTTTCGACATTCACTTTTGGAAGGGGCAGAAAGTAGAAATTACGAATGGTAGTAATATGTTTACATACATTGGTGTCCATGTGTTTGGCTTATAGTTTTCTGGCCTGTTTGGTCTTGCATGCCATGTAGGTAAATCAAACTGTACAATAAAATTTTCTTAGGGAAATGTCAGATCTACTGTTACTTTAATTGAACTTAGATTAGTTATAAGAAAGGTTGGTAGGTGAAGCATGAAATATGAACCAGGAAGGACATACTATTGATATAAGGTGTTCATTAATAATAATGTTTCATAGTAATAATACAGATATACATGACTCATTATTTACTATTTATGTAATAGGTACAGTCTATGACCTAGACCCATTCAGACTTTACTTAATACTTATTTTGATAAAATTAAGTGTATCCCTTATGTGGGTTATATGATAAATACATAAAAATTAAAATTCAACTTATCTTGCTATCAGTACCAGGAAAGGTTTCTTTCCTTATCTACAAGTTAGCACAATGGGAGTGTCTACAGAGAATATAAGTAGAACATTTTGTCAATGTTATCAAATTAAAAAGTAAATAGTGCGTGATTATATACAGGTAACCACAAATGGTAAAGCTTAAAGTTAAATATACTACTAACAGGTTTTGAAAAGAAACAAATTTGCATTCATGTACATTTTATGTCAACTAACAATATAACCAGTTTGTTAACTCATTATTCAAATTCATAGAAAAATCAAATAATGACATTAGAAGGTCAAATGTAAAATATATCTTCCTCACATTTCTTCTCTCTCCACCAGTAGCGAGTAGTATCAGGTTTTCTGAAATAAATGAGCACCTTTTTTTGTGCATGATTCCCATCACAACTTGTAGAGATATGCCTAATATGATGACAGCATCTGTGTCCCAATAAAATATAAAATGTTTAGTAATAATAGTCACTTAAAATTTTAGTAACAGTATTGTTATGTTTTTGTTTTTATGTTGCAGAAGAATCATATTAAAAATTGATGTACAGCCAGTAGAAAGATTAAAGACTATGTATGATATGATGAAAGATATTGAAAGCAAAGAACTTGGACCATGTGGAGGCTTTACTATGATGTATGCCTGTATGTGTGATTATCATTCATTGCCTTATAGGGAAGAGGTGGCTTGGGTAAGTTCTTTTGTAATGTGGATACCCTAAAATCAATTGAATTAGTTGTGAAAATAGGGTTTATTCCCACGAAGGCGCAGTTATTGACCGTAACGGATTAAAAAAGGTCGTTTTCGACGACTTCGCGGGAATCCAGCCCCTAGGGATTAAAATGGATTAAAAACGAAACAATGGTGTTATAGATTGTTATGATAAGAATTTACACTTTCATAATCCCCAATGTAACTAATTAACCAACATTTTAGCATCAGTTATGGCATAAGAAATAAAAACATAACTATACTATAACAAAAATTAATTTAATTTCGCCAAATAAGAAATAAAAACAAAACTATACTATAACAAAAATTAATTTAATTTCGCCAAATGCCTGGAGCTGGCTTTGGATTTGAGCATATTTGTATCCTTTCCTTGGTGGTTCCTGTTCCCCAGCATACTGAACGATTCTAATCTCATTGATATTTTGTTCTTGTTGCAAAATTGGTGAATAAAATTCAGAGTGAACATAAATTCATAAAATCTTTAACACCGTTAATTGGGTCCCAATAACAACATGTCTCTCTTCAAACGAAAGCCGACAAGTTGATATCTGCGCCTTCGTGGGAAGGATTAATTTTGGTCACGCTCAATAACTGCGCCTTCGTGGGAATACACCGAAAATAGTTGTAGTGTTAAAGGATTGAGGGCCCATATCAATCATTGAATCTTAATCGAGGAGAGTGTATATATTTATCAAGCATTTTATAGCTATCTGATTAAAATACAGATCTATATTTCGTTCCGTTTTTCTATACTTTCGATGGCCTACACTACATGAATATCTGACCAGTTGTAGCGGTAGGTCGCGTCAGAGGTCATACGAGCAACTTTTGACCCTATGACATCAGACATTTGATAAACCAATCAGCATTGATGTTACTAGTGGATTACCCACAGTTCCGTGCAAAACACGCCTAAAGCTTGCCGTAACAGACCGTTTTATTGGCTAATCCATCACATCATTCAGAACACGTCAATGATAACAAAAATCTTGCAGATCCTAGTGTAGTAAAGACAAGTAAAATGAAATTTTGAACTATAAAAACGAAACGAAATAGGATTTGTGTTTTAATCATATTGATTTTATAGCAGAAACTTGCTTTTTTGCAAGAGTGATATTTGACGTTTGTGAATTAAGAGCGTGTCCGCGAGAAAACCATGCAGAAGGTGCTAAGGCTTCAATCACACAATTTGACCAAATTTGGTTTATAAGTTGGGATAGTCCCAAAACACATAAATGTGCAATATTAGATAAATCTTTCAATTCCTGTATGAGAAAATTGAAAAAAACATTTTTCATATGGTGAAATTGCCAAAATCTGTCTATTCTCAAATACCAACTTTGGCAAGTCCTTACACCTTTACTATACGTAGCAGAAAGACCAAACTCACACAGTTTATCGATGACTCAGTGCTGTTACCACAATATTAACTTCAGACGATTCTGGCGAACGAGATCTGTATACGGACTGGATATCAAAGCCTGTCTAAATTCCCCATTTTTCGTCACCCAAAGTTTGACGCCCTATAGCTACTTCTTTCATGGGCTGGGTTTAAAAAATTTATGCTCACGTGAACAAGCAACCTCCCAATATTTGATACAAAAAATAAAAATGACCAGAATCGACTTGACAAAAACTAGGTAAAGGAAACAATAACCCATGAAATTAACCTATAATTTCCCTATTTTGGAGATAATTAACCGTAGTAGATAAAAAAAACCTAACAATTTATTTTCCTTTTCATTCATATGGTGTTTACTACCAGCCCTAAAATACATTAGTATCTGTTTTATAAAAATATCTTGAAAAAAAATACTTTCAAAGGCCTGTAATTGTTCATGGCTCATCTGGCGTCAACGGGAATTGACTTCTGCAGTTGTCCACGACCTTCCATTGGAGTTTCGACGTGCTCAATCTTAACAAACATATCCATTACTCTCAAATAGACATTATTTTAAATAAAATAATCCAACGAAAATGAAAAATTCACCTAAAAGTGAGATTCGAACCACCAACCGCATGAATGCCCCCGATCCACCCTCTCACCGAGTTGCTTGTCCCAGGGCCCCGAGGTCCATGTCGTGGGCTCTGTTCAGGGGGTTTGCCTAGGGCCTCTCTTATTCTAAATCCGGCCCTGAAGGTGCAGCTGACGGTGCCCGAGAGCTGTAGCTACCATACTACACTGTTCAATGTCACCCACTTCGACGCAATTAGGCTTCGTTGCCGTTAATATTTAAGCTTCCACATTTCTGTATTGTAGAAATCAGTGGATGTGTCCCAAAATGAATAGTGGAAACATGCTCTGAAATTAAACATTTTGTAGCCATTTTCGGTAACTTGTTTGAAAATGAAATCTTAAAGAGACAATACAACAAATATGTTAAAGGGACAATACGACAATACCAAATATACAATAAATACAAATACACACTTATATAGAGTACAACATGGTACAAATAATGGCTATGGATATGATGAAAACGTATAAAAGTCAAAAAATTTATTTCTCTAATTAAATTTGCAAAAAAATGTATCACAAAAGCTTTTTTTTTAGCACTTTTCAATAAGCTGTATATTTTAAGTATGTTGCATTCCGGTCATTTTTTTTACACCTATGGATACTATGTGCTTAGCACTTCAAAACCATCCAAAGAAATTCTACTTGCGGCCATGAAAGAAAAAGTTACAGTGTATCTTTTTCTGCACTATAAGGACAATGTGAATATGGTACCCTAAAACAAGTCCACACAAAATTAGTATGTACTGATTTTTTTTTTGTCCCCCGCCTTTCGAAGAAAGCAGGGGACTATTAAAATGGGTTCGTCCGTCTGTCTGTCTGTCTGTCTGTCTGTCTGTCTGTCTGTCTGTCTGTCTGTCTGTCTGTCTGTCTGTCTGTCTGTCTGTCTGTCTGTCTGTCTGTCTGTCTGTCCGTCTGTCTGTCCGTCTGTCTGTCCGTCACACTTTTTGGGACACAATAACTCTCTTCCTAATTGAGCTAGAATGTTCAAACTTGGTGTATGTGTTTATTAGGTCAATGCCTTGATGGAGTTCGAAGATGAGCATTTTCCGCTTAGGGTAAGCAGAGATAAGCAATTTGATTGGTTGATGCTTTGGGACACGATAACTCTCTTCCTAATTGGGCTAGAATGTTCAAACTTGGTGTATGTGTTGATTAGGTCAATGCCTTGATGGAGTTCGAAGATGAGCATTTTCCGCTTAGGGTAAGCAGAGATAAGCAATTTGATTGGTTGATGCTTTGGGACACGATAACTTTTAATTGAGCTAGAATGTTCAAACTTGGTGTATGTGTTTATTAGGTCAATGCCTTGATGGAGTTCGAAGATGAGCATTTTCCGCTTAGGGTAAGCAGAGATAAGCAATTTGATTGGTTGATACTTTGGGGCACGATAACTCTCTTCCTAATTGAGCTAGAATGTTCAAACTTGGTGTATGTGTTGATTAGGTCAATGCCTTGATGGAGTTCGAAGATGAGCATTTTCCGCTTAGGGTAAGCAGAGATAAGCAATTTGATTGGTTGATGCTTTGGGACCTGATAACTTTAGTTCTAATTAAAAGGGAGAGTGAGGACACTTGGTGTATAGCTTTATTATATCAATACCTTGACTAAGTCTCGATAATGAGCATTTTCTGCTTAGGGTAAGCAGAGCGATAAGCAATTTGATTGGCCGAGACTTTGGAACACATTAACTCCTTTTCTAATTGAGCTAGAATGTTCAAACTTGGTGTAGGTGTTTATTAGGTTAATGTCTTGATGGAGTTCGAAGATGAGCATTTTGTGCTTAGGTTAAGCAGAGATAAGCAATTTGATTGGTCGAGACTTTAGAACACAATAACTCTCATTCTAGTTGAGTTAGAATGTTCACACTTGGCATAGGTGGCTATTAGGTGAATGCCTTGATGGAGTGTGAAGATGAGAATTTTTTGCTTAGAGTAAGCAGGGATAAGCAATTTGATTGGTTGATGCTTTGGGACACGATAACTTTAGTTCTAATTAAGTGAGAGTGAGGACACTTGGTGTATAGCTTTATTATATCATTACCTTGACTAAGTTTGATAATGAGTATTTTCTGCTGTCATGTCATGGCTGAGTTCAATTATTAACATTGGTCGATGCTTTGGGACAAGATAACTTTGATTCTATCTGATAGAGAGTGCTCAAACTTAGTGTATAATTTGATTGCTCGATACTTTTGAAAAAAATAAATGTGCGATTAATTAATGTGTCATCTATTTATTTTGGGATTTCGGCGGGGGACATCAGCCTCACTGTTGGCTTGTTCAAATTAGTGCTGGGGTAGAAGTTGACCACCCGCTTTATCAGACAGGGTCATAATTAGAAGGTTGCTATTCCACCATAGAATGCAGTATGTGCTTAAAAAAGGTGATAAATACACATGTGAAAACCGCAATTTTACCCATAAAATGAATAATTCCTGTACAGTCCTTTAGAGTGACATCAGACTGTAACCACTTCAGCATGTTACCTCTTGCCCCTAGGGGGTGTCCTACCATAAGTTTGATCAAAAACTTCCGAACCCCCATCTTAGCACTTTTTGCGATTTTTGCATGGTCTTCTCGCGGATACACTCTTAAGAAAGAACTTTTTTTTTTTAGCTAACCAGGGAAATACTGAAAAACAATAACTGGCATATTTTGTGCCCCATATCTTTTTTGTGGTTTTTTTTTTGTTTTTTTTTAAATATTTTTGAAAGGCTTTTTTTAAAATTAATTAAAATTTCACCATATACTTAACAGACCAATTCTAACCAGTTAATGTAATGGCATTATTTCATTTTAAATATAAACTAAGATATGTATAATTCATTGTATGTACATGTATTATGATTATTTGTATTCAAAAGTAAATCTTGATTAGGCTTTACTTGTAAGAGTCAGACAATACATAATGTCTAGTTTAGTGAATTGACGTGGTATACTGTGTACATAAGACTGACACATTGGTTTAAAAAACTACATTCTTTACTGTCCAAATGTTACAAAATCATTGCAGTGTTAATTAGCTTTATCTCTTTATGTATTTTAGGATGTGGATACAATTTACTTATCACAAGATTCAAGGGAGCTATGTCTGCGAGACTTTGATCATCTCAATTTAAAGTAAGCTGACTGTTAATGGTGATTTTTGTATTGAGATGATTTTTAGAGAATTTCTCTCTACAGTACATTTGTAATTATAGTGTTGCATTAAATGGATCAATGAACAATCTTTATTTTAAGAGCCTTTAATGCTGAAATGGAATATTTACATCATGTTCCATTTTTGGAAGTCCAATATTCTTACAACATCTGCACAGACTATAAATAGTGTGAGAAAATAAATAAATCTTGTTTTTTACTTTCAGAGATTTGATTCCTATCATCGGTGCTTTAGAACATAATTCATGGTTCACAAAATTGAACACAAATAATGTTAAATTAGTGAGTATTATGTTTTTATCGATCTGAATGTTATTTTATAATGTACTTGTATTTATCAGTATTTTATTAAGATGAAAAAGATTACAAATGGTGTAAAATCAATAAGTTGATTATTCTTTGTTTACATTAAAATAATGTTAAATAGTCACACACTCCTTTTCGGTTATGGTGACTTAGTGTCTTGGCAATTAAACGGGCAACAGAAGATCCTGTATGCAAATTGAGAGTGAAGAGTTGCTTCATCGTTATTTTGCTAGTTGATTTATCAGTGCCTAAATCTCTGGAACAAACTCTAACAAAGATAGGTTACCAGGCAATGAAATATACGCACACAGCAGCTTAGTTGTCCAAACAGACCACAGAGGTTGCCACACATTTATGATTCTGTTGATAATGTGAGCATTTATAAGACTCAAAACTGATCAAGAGTAACAACCCATGAAGTAATTATATGCAAAGATATGCTTTTGGTTTAGAGATTTAGTTTTAAAGATATTGATCAGTTCATTTAATTTTCATATTATATCAGACATTGTGCTCTCGGAAAAGGAAATTTTACATCTAATTTATTTTCAGACATCTGAATGTTGCAATGAAATATTAAAAGTAATGAGACGTAATGCAGTAATAGAACATCTAGGTTTATCTAATACAGGAATTAAAGTGTAAGTACTTATTATTTTAACCTGAACAAGAGTGAAGAAAATTCTTTGTTGATATCTGACAAGACATACATATTAACCCGATGAATCACAGAATCCAAAACATTTATCAAATAAAGGATTGAAGGCATCAACAGGGCTAATAAAGACAGTAAAATAGCTATGTCCAATAATATATATGTCTGCTTTGAGATGGTTAAATCTTGAATTAATTAATTTTTCTTGTTTTTTTTTTTAACAGAGAATTTGTACAGAAATTATCAACGGCTATATTATCTAATAGTGGTACACAAATATCCAAAATAGATTTATCTAATAATATTTTAGAAGACAGAGGTAGGTGTAGTATGATTTAATTCTCTGTTGACAATATTTTGCCATAATACAGTAAACTTCGTATAAGTCGGATCTAAATGGACTGACCAATTTTATCCGAGTGACGCGAAGGTACGAGTTAGTCGAAGACCTAGTTCAGCTCTGAACGTAGGTTTCATTATCGCCCTGTACGTTCAGGAACCGTCCTATTGAATCCTTTTCGAAAAAAATCAGTTCCCAGTCAGTTTTACTGGGCAACTTTTTACTGCTAAACGGTCGTGTGACAGTCTCTATGAATGCCTGAACAATGTAAAGGAACATTTTAGTGAGAAAGTAAGACCTTGCCTATCTCGCTAGAGTCAGTATGTGCAACACAACATGCTGTTAAAAATGCGTGCCCTTCTGCTAAACGACTTATGTGGCAAGGAGTAGGGTCGCCTGTCCAACCTCGTGGGTTTTCTCAGGGTCCTCCGGTTTCCTCCCACTGGTAAAGACCCCTACGCGCAAGCGAATTATTGAAATAAAATTAAACCATATGTTAGTCCCGAAATGACATAGTTTGTGTCGAGTGGACGTTAAACCCCATTTCTCTCTCTCTCTTTCACTAACAGCCAAGCTTCCTTTTCTATACTTCTTTAATAATAATTAAATTATTTGTTTTGCAGGTATTATACATCTTGTAGGTTCACTCAGCAATTTATCCAAAGGTCTGACGTCACTAGACCTGTCTAAAACAGGTCTAACTACAAAATGTTTGAATAGAATAGCTGAAAGTATGTCTCAGAGCTCAACCATATCATCAACATTACAAACATTAAAACTAGCAGACAATAGTCTTAAGGCAGAAGATTTATCAGTATGTATAGATATTTTCATAGAATGTTTGATTGTTTTTTGCTCACAGTGAGTGTATCTATGAATCAGGGTTCTTAATCCATTTTGAAATGAACCAGAATTGGGTCAAATGAGGTCCTGGTAGGAAATAGGGTAATTATAAGCTTCTATTCCGATCCCTTTAATATAACCATACTTCAACAAAAATTAGTTTTGGTAATTTGTTTTGAAGAATGTCATATTCTAATGTATGTGATCGCCGCCATTCATACGCAAATAGTGTAAATATATGGTATATCATGGTTGTAGACCCTCTAGAAGTCACAATGTTGATCCGATTTTGATGAAACTTGAAATATATCTTTATAACCCCAAAATCTTGGTTCCTGTCGATATTCGCGCATATCGGATTGTAACTTCCTGAATTATGGCCCTTGATGTTACGAAAAATCGCTTTTTGATTAGCTTATTCTCATCCATCTCTTGCAAAATGTGGCCGTATCCTGCCTGGCAGCCGCTAGTTGTCTATCACGTAACTTGCAAAAGTTTTTATTCATTCGTCGATGATAGACAAGCAGTACAAGGAACATGTGACAACCATAATTAAAATTGCTTTCAAAATAAAATTCCCAACGATTATGCCATATAGCCTTCAATAAACGACAATATTTTTTAAATGAAGCCTCTGTCAGCATGTGTATAAAATAGAAAATCATAACAGTAAAAGCTATTTAAAACTAAAGCCAGCATGTTGGTTTATTGACCTAATTCCAATCAATGTCACGTGTCATTGGAATTTGGCATTGGAAATTCTGTCGGAAAAATATATTATTAATGACTGTTTCTTGGTGTTCTATCAGGGGATTATATTCAATGGAACATATAAATATAAAAGATAAAACCTGTAAATTTGAGGGTAATGTTTTATAGAATGGAATTCAATTAATATGAAAACAATTTTAAATAATTGATATACCTTTTTACTTTGAATAATTTCAGAATCTATACACCTTTCTGGCAAGACCAAATGGTATTACACATTTAGATTTATCTTCTACAGATATAGCTCTAGATATGGTAAGTATTGTTACTTCTAATTTCTACAGTCAGTGGCTTATTAGAGCTTAATTTATTTAGATGTTGAATATTGTAAACTTGTGAATCACATTTCATCGCAGTTCCATGAACTTGAAGCTGCCTTTTTCAATATCTCCTTTTTAGACAAGAATGGCACTGTTAGTGGTTGTAATTACTGGTCAACTTGTAATGTTTGATACACTATATAGCTGGTTGTCAGTATGTAAATGAAATGGGGTTTAACGTCCTATCGTTCTGCTCCGAACTGGGCTAATGAAGACGGGCAAACACCATACAGTGTGCTATAAGGGAAATTTTGCCCGGACAGCGGCACTACGGCCTACTCTTATATTGAATTCCAACTGTCAAGGGATCTTTTACGTGCATGCCAAGTTGTACACGGGACATCGGTTTTTTGTCCCATCCGAACGACTAGATAGCTGTCCTTGTCAGGCCCTCCGTCCTGCATCACTGACAAGGGGGAATCACCCTGTAAAATCTGGATGAACTTTCTCGGCCAATGCAGGGATCAAACACCTGACCTCCAGGCTAGCGAGCTAGCGTCCTACCCACTTAGCCACTGTGACCCCCCATTTGTCAGTATGTACTGTGAATTCGTATTAGATTAAGTGACTTGAAATAGTGACTTTGATTGTTAGACTGTCAGAGATTGGCAAACAGCAAAACACTGTTGCACTTCATTTGTTACATTTACATAGTGAAACATGTCAATAACGCTAATAAGTTTTATTTTCATGGTCAATTAAAGACCCACCCATATCAGGTTCTGAACATGGTATTTGCGGTTGGTTATTTGTGATTTGATGTGGTTTTACAACATATTTACATGAGACATGTTAAAATTTCAAGTCATTGCTGAGACATACAAACTTTCAATTTATAATATTTTGCAAACATCGTGCGCTAAGTATTACAGTTCTGGATTTACATGATTAGTATTATGACTATATTATTCAAAATGAATTACGCTTATTTTCTTTATGAGGGTACTAATGCCATTTTAAATTAAATTTTACTGAGAATGCTTATGAAGAGTAGCGTATGTTAAAACCAGTGATGGGATTTTGCCCGTATATTCCGGACTTGTCCAAATCTTTTTTCCAAACGCCCAAAATTGTCCGACCGGGAATATGCCCAATCGGACATCAAGACATGGTGAATAATATTCAAAATTCCGAAATTGATATAGTTTACTGAGTGTATAACTACCACTCAACCCGATTATCGTCGATAATACGCTGGGTTTATTAGGTAATTAAGTGATCAACGTATTTATCGTGTTATACCGTTTATAGTATAAACCTACCTTAATTTAATTACTTAATCTGCCTTGATTGACTGACTTAATCCTTTGTCGGACAATTCATCAATCTAATCTTAAACAGAAGTCATTGCTTTCCTTTTGTCGGACTATTCATCAATTCAATAAGAATGATTATAATTTTAATCCACCTGTTTACCTCGTGGTTTCTCATTTGTCGGGCATCTTAATCGCATTGATGTGAGCCGACATCATCTATAATAAACTAATCATCGATGTCACATATCGTAAGAGTAAATAACACCCAAAATCAATGGACAGTCATTTTGTCTACGATATCTTTTACGTCTTTTAAGAATCCATATAGAAATTCTCATCCACAGTGGCACTTTCCCTTGATCTCGAGTGCGGCACGAATATTGCTTAACATATTATTAGGCAGTGCTTACTATGAAGCCGTGTGATATGAGTCACGTAGGCTATTAGTCTCTATTATCCAGAAAAATATTCTACGGATATGTTGAAGACTAGGAGTTTCTGGGTGACCGAGACTAGTACGCACCCAGCAAAATAACAAAAAGGGGAGGGGATACCAATAGCTATATGAGCAGAAATTCTAACGTATTTGTAGGCGGGAATTAAGAAGCATGTCAATCATTCTGCTGTGTTGCCTATGATGCCTGTCACTCTGTCGTGACTATGAAAGAGTGTTATTCGCTGAAGTTAGCTATGCCTGTTTACAAGTGATTTAACTATTTCGGAAGTTCTGCATTCATTTGCTGCCGTATAAACGAAGACACGTAATTCTAAAGGAATATTATGGTTGTGAATTTGATGCCGAAGCAGGATCGGCAAGCTTTCATTCAACATATTACGAAAATGCTTAATTTTGTAGGACATTTACTGACATAAATTTGAATGCCGTACGGGAATTAAGTGTGAAAAATAGCGAGGTCACAATTTTTATTACGTACGGGATTTGAATATTTTGTTGACATGTGGTTTTTTAATTGTGGTATGAATTGAATACTGTACGGGAATTAAATATGAAAAATAGCGAGGTTCACCTATTTTTATTACGTACGGGATTTAAATATTTTGACATGTGACTTTTGTGGTACGAATTCGTCTGCTTAAATAATGATAAGAGTTATGCCCCTTTATTTTCGGTAAAATGTCTGACAAGAAATTTTTTGAAATCCCATCACTGGTTAAAACATAAATATTTTTAGTTTTCACTACCTTAGTACTGAAATACCTTCTATATTTACAGATTTGTGGAGCATTATTAAGAGGATGTATCCAACAATTAACTTATTTGAAACTAAATAATGTAGTGTTCTCTCATAAAAAATCTAAAGAAGTAATTATACCTCAGACATGGAAACAATTATTTAGCAGTGTAGCAGTATTAGAACATCTTGATTTATCTAACTGTAAATTGCCACCAGAAGCTGTAAGGTATGTTATACACTGATTAAAGCTATCTACAGACTATATATCTAGTTTGTGTTCAAGAAAATATCGTTTGACTGTAATTTGAAGACCCATTATAAGCTAATATGGAAATACTTGGTTTATTCACAGAATATAATGTTGTAAAAGATCATTTTTTATTAGAATGAAATGTATTTTGAATTCTTGTGATCATTCTACGGTAGTCATTTTAGGACTAACATATTATTTTTATTTACTGTCTGATTATACACAGAAGAGAATTACAAATGTCAATGTATTTTTTTACGTGCACAAGTTTACCTTGACTTTATATACTATCCAAACGACTAGATACACTTTCCATGTCAGTCCTACACTGGTTAGCCTTACATGTAAAGAAATTCCTGGAGTGTCTTCTAGGTCCTAACTAATCAAGCACAGTGTCCCAAATCTTCAATTTTAACAAATAGATAGTCTTGCAAACGAGCTGACTAATTTGAAATTTCTTAAAAAAATTTATATAAATATTGAAATGTAGTTGTATATTGTTGTGAACCCTTGTCAGTCATCCACCTTGTTTTTTTTGTCCCATCTGAACAACTATACATTGTCCTTTGCCAGACTCTCCACCCTGCACGTGATCTTTTACATGCACGCCAATGTGTACAGGACCTTGGTTTTTTGTCCAATCTGAACAACTATACCTTGTCCCTTGTCAGACTCTCCGCCCTGCACCACTGACAAGGGGGAACCACGCTGGAATTCCTGATGAACTTTTTCGGCCCATGCAAGGATTGAACACGGGACCTCCAGTTTAGCGAACCAACGTCCTACTCATTGAGCCAGCATGGCTCCTGAAAGAACTAGAAGCCAATCAAATTTTAATTAGTTCTGATAATTACTTAATGGGCTGTTACTCTTGATTAGTTTTTAGTGTCTTGTAAATGCTCCCATTACTTGGAAAAAGACAAAATATGCAAAAACATGGCCGACTTATTTGGCTGCTCTGGATGGATATGTTTCTAATAACTTAAAAATCTTTTTGTTTTACAGAGAATTGCTGCTTGGTGTGGCAAGTAACCGCCATATCGATAACCTTCATCTTGATTTAAGTAATAATGATTTAGGATCTCAGGGAGCTCAAAATATAGGGGACACCATTGCCAATATAATTAATATATCTAGTTTAGATATCAGCAATAATGGTGAGTACATTCTGAAGAATTGGATACTTGTTTGTATGTAGACTGGGGTATGGCTTTATCTTATGGTATGGTGCCCCATACAGTAAGAAATATGCTCTACTAATGTAGTTATTCCAATGAATGTTCTACCTCCAAATGTTGATTTCACAACTGATTACACAACACAGCTAATGCATTGTGAGCAGAAACTTGTTTTAGCTAATATATAACCATCACACATCTAACACTGTTACCCAGGTATCATTTAATCTTGTGTATCTAGCACTTATTTCTTTCACATTCGTTTAATATCAAATCTTTGTTTAAAAATTTGTAAAAACTGTTTAAAATCACCATAAATCGTTTAATTTGTACTTCTGTCCAGTTTAAAGCTGACCATTCAATTTTGATAATGAGTGTCCAATTTACAAGTGTTTAATTTCTCAATCATTGTTAAAAAATAAACAACCCAATTGATTAATGATGTATAATGATTAATTTTTGAACAGTGATCAGGAAATTAAATACTTGTAAATTGGAAACTCATTATCAAAATAAATCAGTCAGTTTTAAACTGGACACATGTACAAATTAGATGATTTTTGGTGATTTTAAACAATTTTTACGAATTTTTAAACATAGATTTGATATTAAACGAATGTGAAAGAAACTAGTGCTAGATACACAAGATTAAACGATACCTGGCATGGGTTACAGTGTAATCTGTCAAATTAAATGAAATGGGGTTTATTGTCGGACTGGGCTAATGAAGATGGGCTCATGCCATACAGTGTGCGGTGAGGGAAATTTTGCCCAAACAGCAGTGCTATGGCCTACTCTTATATCTAATTCCAACTGCCATGGGTTCTTTTACATGCATGCGAATTATTGAAATAAAATTGAACCATGTGTTAGTTCTGAAATGACCTAGTTTGTGTCGAGTGGATGTTAACAACATTTCTCTCTCTCTCTAATGTTAACACGTCTGAATTACAGTAATATTTAGATTGTTACTTGTGACAACAATTTTAGAAAATTATTTTTTGATTATTTTGCATGGTATTTTTATTTGGCTTCTGTATGGTTCTTAAAATATTTGTTGTCTTGGTGATCTTCTTAACTTGTTAAATACAAAATGACCGTTAATTTAGTGATGACAAATAGGTACTAAGGTAAAGCTTGTAATATATATGAATGATGTGGCATGATTATTGATCTATTTGGAGATGTTCTTTTATTGTGAACACTCTACTTGTGATTCTTATATTTCTACTGTATATAATGTTTTCCAGGTTTTGACCAAGATTTAGGCCATCTTCTTCAAGGAATAAAACGCAACCGTTCAATACGTCATATAGCAATAGGTAGAAATTTTACTGGTATAAAGCCAAAGTAAGATATATATTCTTTCTATTGAAATTTCAGTGGATTCATGTGATTTATTACTGACTTGTGTCCTCAAAATTAAACAGATCAAAATTAAAATGAATGAAAAAAGATTCTCCTTAATTGATTCCTCTTGTGGAAGTGTTTATTTATTAGAATTTTCCTTTAAATGGCATTTCTAATCTAAAATCAAAGTAGATGTTGATTTTTCTACAAAATCATAAACTTGAATTGTTCATGTTTAATTTGGCATAGTATGTTAATGTTTCACATTTTGGAGGTATTTTAGAATTAATACTGAAATTTATATTTTACTAAAGGTACCTTAATTTATATTTTTCTTAAGGTACCATTTAAGAATATTGGATCATGTTGTACAACTAATACAAGAAGAAGATTCAGTAAGTTGTTAAAGTATTGTTGTTTTGGTTTTTTACCCCCACCTTTTGAAAAAAAGCAGGTGACTATTAAAATGAGTTCTTCTCTCTGTGTGTCCATCACATTTTTGGGGACACAGTAACTCTACTTCTAACCAATATGATTTGTCAAGACTTTGGGACACCATACTGTGCTTCTAATTGGGGTAGAATGTTGACAGTTGATGTAGATATTCTTTAGGTAAATATTTTCACTGAGTTTGATGATGAGCTTTTTCTGCTAAGGCTAAGAATCACACTTTTTTGAACACAATAACTGTGCTTCTAATTCAGATAAAATATTCCAACTTAGTGTAGGTGTTTGTCAGATCAGTGTCTGGACAAAGTTCAGTGATTAGCATTTTCTGATTAGGCTAAGCCAAGATAAGCAATTAGATTTTTCAATGCTTTGGAACACAATAACTTTGATTACCGGTACTCCCTGATTGAGGCTGATGAAACTTGGTGTATAGTTTCATTACATCAATACCTTGACTAAGTTCGATAATGGGCAATTGCATTGCTGGATGGTTTATAAAAAGATAAAAGGGATTTAATTGATGAGTGTTATCTTTTTATTTAGGGATAGCAGCTTCATCATTTGTTTGTTATTTCAACTGCATGTATGTATCGTTATCTTGCAGATGATACAGTCGATATCTTTAGTTGATTCTAAATTAAAAGCAGATACAGCATATGTTGTTAATGCACTAGGCAGCAATAATTCTTTACGCGAAATTGATTTAAGGTAATATTTTTACTTTTATATTATTTTTGTATTTTCTGGGGTTTTTTTTATAAATGATTTAATTTAATCACAAAAACAAAATTATTCTCTGAACAATGAGAACATTTTAATGTGGTTCTATATTTTCATCGGCCTGCCTGACCACACTTCTTATTTTCATGGGATAAAGATGGTCACTATCAATTTTAAGTGTAATTTTGCCAAAGATAAAATTTCTGAGTTATGGCTGCTGGCAGATATGATTGTCAATAAAATTACACAACAGCATTCATTTGCAGTTCTGCATCGTTTAATTCTTAACCGATTTTCGTCAAATTGGTGTAAGAATGATCCCTTTAGATTTTAAGCATTTTCACAAAAACATTTCCTCAGTTAAAACCCTCTGACATACAATTGATGATGAACATACAAACAGTACTTGTACTCAATCTACAAAGTTCATTTCATGACAAATTTTCGTCAAATCTCAGAAATAGTTAATATTTGTATTAAGATGGACCCTATGAATTTCAATAATTAAAATACATGTATTGCATAAAAACAAATACAGGGACAAAATCACCAGGATAGGTGTTTGCAGTGTGGACAGCTAAGTAACCTGTTGGTTGGAATATGTTATCTTTGCTAGCAACCTTTGTTCTAAAACTGGATTTTCCTCTATAAGAACTCAGTTTTGAAATATTTTAACAGTAAAGAGATTTTTTTATTGTCGCATATAACTGTCAGTATGGTCGATAGATAAGATTAGAGTGAATAAAATCAAATAAAACAGACCAATTAAACTTGTTGATAATAATTCTTTGCTCTGTTTGTTATATGACAGCCTTTGCTTACATAAACAACTATCAGTCTTAGTGTCTGTCATGTGACAACATAAAGTTTAAACCAGTCATCTAGACCAAATTTAACAGATGTCAATCGAAGAACAGTTTCTAATATTGGCAGTATTAGTCGTAAAATTGACACAAAATTTCCTTTTCTTTACAGTGGCAATCTGATGGGGGATTTAGGTGCTCGGATGTTAGCCAAAGCTTTACAAATCAATACCCATATGCAAACAGTACGCTGGGACAGAAATGCAACAAGTGCTCAGGGATTCGAGGATATAGCGGATGCACTAGAAAAGTAAGCACATAAATTTACACTTGGGGTTTGTTATATATATTTTTTATTAATTAATTACAATAATTGAAAATTGTTTTTATTTAAATTATCGTTACCATTAGTGATTGGATCTGTAAGTTTTCTATTTTGATGTTTTGTGATGCACAATTGGTTTGGTACTATTTGCTGACATTTAAGTGATAAACATTACTTTTAGGAATTATACTCTTAAAAAGATGCCATTCCCAGTAAATGATGCTGCTATTGTTATGAGATCCCAACCTGAAAGAACAGAAGCTGCCTTACAAAAGGTAAACAGCTAGTATAATCAACATTGCTCTGAAGTTCTGAACTGTTTCTTTGCTTAGTTTAGTGTATCATTCAATATTTACTTTTAGTGTTAAACATTTATTAAAAATCTTTAATACTTTTTTTTTTGATTCTTTAAATAAGTCTTCATTGTTCACTGAAGTTATATTTATACTTTTAATAAATAGGTATGTATATATAGTTAAGGCTATTGAAAAATCAAAGCTTATATTAAATATTAAGTTCTTTTCAATTTTCCTACCTACTTTTCAGATTGAATCTCTGTTACAAAGAAACCACAATCCTCGTAAGTTTTCATCTGATCAAGCCTATAGATTACAGCAGGGGTTTCTCCTTAGTTCAACACAACAGGTACATATAGTATTATTGTTTATTATATTTAAGAAATAAGCATCGGTCTCATTTTTATACGTCCACATTCATAATGTGTGTGTGTGTGTGCCTGTGGGTCGCCAACAGGGCGCAATTCTAAATGGATTGTCTTAAAACTTTGTATACTTATTCCTTATACCCTAAGGATTATCCTTATTGTTTTTGGTGCATGCCCCACCCCCAGGGGCAGAGCTATGCTCATTTTTTGTATTTGTTTGTTTGCCATATACAGGACGCATTTCTTAACAGATCATCTTGAAACTTTGAAGACTTATTCCTTATATCCTAAGGATTGCCCCTATTGTTTTGGTGCATGCCCAACCCCCCGTGGCAGAGCCACACCCATTTTCTCTATGTGTTTTGCTAAAGGTCGTTATTCTTAATGGATCGTCTTGAAAACTTTTCATACTTATTCCTTATACCCTACGGATGACCTGTTATTTTTGGTGCATGCCCGATCCCCTGGGACAGCCACGCCAAATTTTTGTGTGTGTCTTTGTGTCGCCTACAGGCCGCAATTCTTTACATTTTTTTTTTGAAATTTTTCATATCTATTCCTTATACCCTAAGGATGATCCTATTGTTTTTGGTGAATGCCCGACCTCAGGGGCTGAGCCACACCCACTTTTGCTTTGTGTGTCTGTGCGTTGCCTACAGGCCACAATTTTTAATGGATCGTCTTTGAACTTAATAGAAGTATTCCTTATAGCCTAAGGACGGCAACTATTGATTTTGGTGCAAGTCCTGACTCCTAGGGGCAGAGTCACGCCCAATTTTTGTGTTTATTGTATACTGGCTGCAATTCTGAATGGATCATCTTCAAACTTGGCTTATGTATTCCTTATAGAGTTTAAGTAAGAAAACAAAATCCAATTTCCGTCGCTGGATAACAGAATTATTGAACCATTTTTGGACTGATATTCCTATTAGCAGAGACAATTGTTCACAAGAACCTTTTTGTGCTAAAATGACGCAATGAGACTTTTAACTATTCATTTGGAATTGTTTCAAAAAGTGGGTTGCTTTAAGTTCTACATAATGCTTGTATGAGAGGCTGAAGTTCATTATTTGTTTATAATCTACATTAGAACTTCAATATAATGCTGATGCTGGGATACTCAGGCTGTAATTTACATTTTGTGTATTTTTTTCAGATGGTAGATCGTCTAGTAGTACAAGTACAAGATACAATCAATGCCTTGAATTTTGGACCAAATGAGGCCTTTAAAACAGATATACAAAAAGCAACAGAAATAGTTAAAGATGCTGACAATTCTAAACAAGTAAATAGAATATTATAATTCATTCTTCACCTGTTATTTTTGACTGTACTAAGCTGAAAATAAAAGAATCACATTCATTTTCATGCTCTGATATATATTTATATATATATATTTTTTGTTTGTTTTAATTTAGCTGTTGCCAAGGTTACAAGAAATAGCTATCAAATCTCAGGATAGTGGAAATCCGGTAGATAATTCGCTACAGAAAATAGCAGATGATTTAAGACAGGTGATGGAGAATCAAATGAAGGTAATTTGCTTTAGTACATTCCAAAATTTGCAAAAACTACCATTAATCTGAAACACTGATAGTGATGTCCATTAATGACACCTGTAAAACAATAAGTAAACTATTATCAAATCAGAGATACCTGATTAGAATTACCTTCTCCAAATGTGATGATTTGACTTTATGTTAGGCTCTAAGTGTGAACCACACTGCTATTAATGAAGAGACATATTATAGTTTATTTTCTAAATGAATATGCAGAGCTTATCATTCTGACTTATTATATTTGTAGAAAAGTGTAGAAGATATGTTAAAGTGCACAGCCTCTCACTGTACGGCTGTCACAGCTGATAAAGTAAGTTGATACTTATCTATATCTTCATTTTCAAATAATTGACATTGATGAATAATTATTTATATATACCTACGATTAAATAGCCCCTCTCACTATCCCGAAGAAAATTAATGTAATTATTTAAATAATATAAAATTCAATATGATGTTTGAAAAAAATATAGTGGAGAGGTATTTTGTCCTGTGCAGAAATTTTAAATGAAGATAATTTTGAGAAAATTTGAGAAAAATCAACCTCTGTCTTCATTTTTGTCCTTTTTTTTCTTATATACTTTTAATAGACATTCCAAACTGAACTGGAAGATGGCTGTCATTCCAAAAGTTCAATACCAAAAGATTTCACCAAATTAATGTTAGATGGTGTTGGAAATGATATGTATAATAAACTCAGGTATAGTTAATGTTTAAAGCTCCTATTTTAAATAAGACTATGACACAATAAATCGAAGTCCCTTATGTCAGAACTTTAATCATTAGATATTTCAAAGCCTGAAGGCAAAACCTTTTGAAAAATGGCCAGTTAAGGTCTAACTCAATTTGTAAATATTAAAGTTTATTTTGTTAAAATTCAATTTTCAGTGAACTCAATCTAGCTGTAGCAGCCTATTTATCAGACAGTACCATCGACCAAGTCATAGAAGTTCTTTCTAACAGTCATCGAACACTGGTAAGGAAATATAACATCAGTAGCAAGATTGAATTACTTTTTTTTGATCAACTATATTTCTTCCCTTGGCTTTATTCGGAACCTTATGTCTAAAAGTTTGCATTCAGTCTGCTAATGGTAAATCCTAATTTTTATTTTTTTACCAGCCAGCAGAAACCTGAAATGATTTTAAGGTTTCTTTAATTTAACCATTTCCATCTTGATATATATATACCCCCAAAAAAATCTTATTACATTTTGTAATTAAAGACAAATCACTTGAACTTGAGAAAGAGTGGACATTATCCTGTTAAAGAAGAAAAAGTTGATACAGAAACAGAAAAAAAAGCCTCAAGAGAATCTTTAGAAATAGAATTAGACAATAAACCATCACCTGGGGTAAGAGTTTTATATCTTGTGATGCACATTATAGTACATGTATTAATATATTCCATTGTTATAATATTATAATACTGTTAAATCAAGTCAGGGTTTAATAATTATAATTTAAGAGAGCTAGTTCTTTGTATTAACAGGTTGTGACCAAAAATATTTAGTTAATCTGCCTGAGAATATAAACAAAAATTGGTTTTATACTGGACTACAGTTATTACTAGGTCTACTCATGTAATCAAGTTATTTCATTGCCTGCATTGTCTGCGACACATATCTTGTCAAAATATGTTTTCCATTTAAGTAAACAAATACACTTTCTTTTACAAACAATTCATTGGCATTGTTAAGATACTTTTGTTTAAGCTACCACAAGAGTGGTATTTAATTGAATATTATAGCTTCCTGTTGTACCTGTAAATAAGAACTTGTTTTCCAAAAAGGTGACATTGACTTGATTTAACTAAAGAGGGAATGGCTTTATGTACTCTGTGTGTGTATGACATATATCTCTATAATTTGCATAGTCATGTATTTATTGTGTGAGTCTCATAATAATAAACATTAGAACTAATTGGAAATAGGTACCAAATTTCGGACATCACTCATCATAAATTACCAAATCACACTGATCAAATTTTACTGATGATAATGCATTTAGTTAGTTTTAATAACCTTACGAAGATATCCAAGTGTTGCCTGCAACTTACAATGTAAATGAAGGTCATTAGAAGTGACTTGTATTTCGAAAATCGAAATAAATATAACAGAAACACAATATTTTGCCATATTAAGCCCTTTTTAATTTTGGACAAATAAACTCTAGTGCAATGTAAGTTATGAGCCTTTAACAACATGACATCATTTGAGTTGACTTCAAGTATTTGAGTTTGTGTGAAATTTTGAGGCTGTGGTGTGAATTATTAGCTTATGACTTAAAAGAGGACTTGCCAGATTGAAATGGTATAATTTAAAAAACAGATTTGAAATTATAATAATTTTAAGAAAGAACATTAACAATAAATTTCAAAGTGATCTTATTGGTAAAAGAATATTGTAACGAAAATCAATGATATATTTAAATCATTTAAATCAAACCTGGCACGTCTTCTTGTCTTCAATTATGGATTCATCTATTTGTCATCATAAATTGTGTATTATATAGAGTACATAGTATTTTTGTGCAAAATGACCAATTAACTCAATAAATCCATATTATAATAAGAAATTATTTCATTTAATATTGCTTGATATGTTGATACTTAAAGCTATATGCACGAAAATTTCTATTATATAATGCTTAGTGATGTATATTATTAATATAGCAATTCTTACTATCCTGCATGCTTTTTCAGCCCTTTTTTATGGACTCCCACCCACAGCCAGTAAGTATACTGCCAAATCTATTCAGCAATGTTCTATTATCACTGTAAACTGGGTATCATGTAATGTTGTGGATTTAGCATTAATTTCTTTCACATTCATTCAATATGAAATCTTTGTTTAAAAATTCATTAAAATCATTTAAAACCACCAAAACTCAGCTAATTTGTACATTGCATCCAGTTTAAAGCTGACCATTCAGTTTTGATAATGAGTGTCCAATTTACAAATATTTAATTTCCTGACCCCTTTTCAAAAATTAATCATTATACATCAATACCGGTAATCAATGAGGTTGTTTATATTTGAACATTGATCGAGAAATTAAATGCTTGTAAATTGGATACTAATTATATATTAAAGCTATACTCCAGTCATTTCATATTTGATTAATACACAATAAAATAATTTTATAGCCTTTACCATTGATTTGTTAAGTAAACAATTTCATTGTTGAAACTATGTTATTTCTAGATAATGAAACAATATAAAATTTATATACATATATGGTTGGAGTTCTCCTTTAAAGCTTTATAAATTAAATAGCGCAGAAGAAAGGTGTTCAAATACAAAATTTGTTTCTATATAACTAAATAAGCTTGTTCATTCAATCATCATAAATAAAATGTGTTCATTGTTCTTGCTACATGTATATATGAGATTTGTGTTATTATTCACAATGAAGATATGGGGTTAGTATAAAGATCTCTCATTTTTTCAGAAAAATGATTTATTTAATTCCACAATATCAGTGCAGAAAAATGATTTTATTAGTATCACAATAGTAAAATCTTGACTACCTATTAAACGTAATGCTGCTAGTTTCCTTCTGCTTTGTCTAAAAATGAGCTTTTGAAAATGATACACATATAAAAAAAATATATATACGGTAAATTATTAAAATGTATTTATTCAGTTGGATAGCTATCAGTTCTCAAAAATCAAGAAACATTAACCTGTACTATTATTCTTTGAAATGTGAAGAAAGATCTTGTATATTTTTTTTATTTTTATTCAACTCCTTTTTGACATTCTCCAAAATAAGGAACTTCTATCTGTCTGTTATAATCTTAGCCACTATATACATGTACATACAGTAATATGGAAGTATTCAAATTAAAATAAAGCCTTAAAATAGATGATATCTATAAACAGTCCTACCTTGTTAAAGAATAATCCTATTAATCCTTTAATTCACTATTGCCAGTTGAGAAATTGGCAAAAATATCATTTTCAACTTTAAATTCAAATGTTTGAAGAAAGCAATTCCATTGGGGGGGGGGGGGGGAATAGAAAAACAAGGGAGGTAATTGTGTTATTATTTCCAGGGTCAAAGGATTTTTAAGAGGGAGAATAATACCTATAATCGTATAATAGTGAGTCGACAACCTATTGAGCAAAAGGCAAATGTTTTGACGACTTTCTTAGAAAATATGAAATTATCGCTTTAAGTAAATTGTATTTTCCATTGCCAGGATTCACCTAAATTGTCTCACAAGAGAAAGAGTTTGTATGGAAGAAAACTTCGTCCTCAGTCTGTTATAGGTAAGACATGTGGTTTTCTTATTGATTTTTACCAAGTTTGGATTTGAAAATGTGTGCTCGTGTAGCATGGGACATATTAATCCATTACATATGTATATTTACAGAAATTTATCATTTAATTACATTATTTTGCATAATATATATTAGCGTGGGACTGAGAAATTATGATGGTATTCATAGTTTCATACACTGTATTAGTATTGAATGGTTATCTGGATACAATATATATTTCAAGGTGAAACTGATTATTTTTTTGATGAATCAAATCCCATGATGTCAAACAAGAAAATAGAACATGGTATGTTGTCGAAATAGTAACCTCCGTGAAATATATATCATTTTCAAAGTGCCAATTTGTTTTAGTTTTCTGACCTGTCTTTGTAGATTATTATCCTTGCTATTTTTTCTGTTTACGACATAGTTATGTTATATGGTCTTATTTCAGAACATAGTTCACTATCTTGCTTCAGACATTCTATTCTTAAACTAAAACACTCAAACATATTTCATGACCAATTATAATCTATTTCTTTTAATATAATGATCCATTGTTCAATGCGTTACATGATTTTCAGGTCCTATTTTAACCATTTTTGTGAACTTCCAACTATCCAAGCCATGTTGAATATTACTTAGAATTCCCTTCCTTGGTTTCAATGCAATTGCCTTATTTAATTTCCATTGCCAATATGAAATTTTTGTTTTCTTGATTTTGATGGTATATTTTGATCTTTTAATAGTCACAAATATATGATCACAAATATATCATCCATAATCTTATATATACAATCATGGTTGAGATTTGATTTTACCTATTATAGACAATAATGGTTCTAATTACCATGTCAGAAATTAGTCAGACCAGCAGTATGCACAATATTAACTATATATAGATCTTAGCGACTGGGTCAACATGGTGCTTATATAATAGAAATTAATAGTTTTGGCAGTCAACTCAATGTATGTCTAATCACCTGTACTGACCATTATATATCTAATATTATTAGTAAGTTGTATATAATGGACTGTTAGTTTAATACCACTAACTCATACATATTTTAAGTTCACAATTTGATTTTTGTTTTTTTGCTTGGATTTGCTGTGTTTTGTTAATAGATCGGGACCAAGTTCAAAAAGCGCTGAAAATGTGTGAAATTGAGACAGAAAAGAATTCAGTTGACAGTCATTCTGATATTAGGTCACAAATAGAAGAAGGTACAGGACATAGCACAGAATGTTTGTTCTTTGGATATTTGTTATGTTTGTATTTTATTTAATTTTGTGGGATTTTTGTTTTTCTAACTTATTAACATTTGATACTTTTTGAAAGCTGAAATAAGATTTAATTGCAATACATTGAATATTAATTTGTTAACATAGTTAATAATAATTAATATCTTTCAGTTTATTAATATGCCAAATCTAGCATGTGGTATATAAATGAATTGTCATATGATGTTTTAAAATAAAAAAATCAAAAGATTTTGATAAAAAGTAGAATTCTTGTACTTAAAGAAACTATTTAATCACATCGTCATATAACCATAGGCGTACGATAGAAATCTTAAGACTCGAACCCTCTATTGTTTGGAGTACAGTAAGCCACGAGTTACAGTTACATAAACAACTGTTTTAGTTGTGTATATTACAAGTAAATAAAATTTAGTTCTCTTTTATTGATGAATTAGAAATTAAGAACTTATTCATCGCAAAAGAGATATTGTAGAACCTGTCATGGGCCTTCAAATAAACATTGAACTTTGTTTTATTTGGTAAAAACTCCTCAGAATCACTTAAAATGCATATTTATTCATACGCGATTTTGTAAAAAAAACACAGACACCCTTAGCAGGATTCGGATCGGAAATATAGTCGGTACTCGGTCCGTTAGTTTAGTAAAAGAATCTGCACACTTCGTTTCCATCCTACAGGCCTGGTACATGAACCTATACTAACATACTAAGATGCTAACTACATTTTTTGGGCATCAACCACCACCGCCCCCCCCAGTCAAAAATTCCCCCGTACGCCTATGCATATAACATTCATTAAATTCACATGTAAATTAAATTAACTTGCATTAAATATATGGATTTACACTGTACAGTACTTAGATATTGAAGACCATAAATTAGCATGTGGGCATCTTGGTAGATTTGAGGCATGATACTTTGCGTGAGTCGACATGAAAGTCCTAGTAGCCTTAGCCAATGTTAGCAATTTGATTTGTCATAAATATTTTCAAAATTTTCAAATTACATTATTGTAATGACTGGCATAGAAGCCATCATGTTCCTGGACCACCGACTGCAAGTTTTACAACATCTAGCTGCTACTAGATTAGTTTGAAATTCATAGGCTTTTGGGTACGTTAGCTCCCTTTACCACAGATGTTTGTAGTTAAAATGAGATCAAGTCTTCTTTTGAAGATGAGGAGCCGTAAATCTTTACTAATCAGCTGTGACCGAATGGTTCTATAGTATGTGTGCAGTAACTATTTACAAAGTTTAATCCTTTAATCTGTCATGGCATAAATAGTTATAAGCAAAATCAAAAAGTGTGATACAATTATTGCTATTTGAAAAATACAAATAACAAGAAATGCTTAAATGATGATATAAACATGAAAGGTGGAGATGGGGGCTTTAATTTAAAATGAAAATAATAGTAGTAAGAATGTGGCGGGACGATTTACCCAATGCTACCAAATACCAGCCCAATGTCACAACATAATACCCAATACTGCAACATAATGATGCAAAATGTGCATATTACTTGAATTTTTTTCAAAAATAGTGAGTTCTATGCCAGGAAATGCACTTCAAATGATATTACTGATATCTGGCTGTTCCATTTGCTTCCCAAGATCAGCCAAAACAAGTAAATAATATCCAAATACTACCCAATATTATCAAACCTAATATCGTCAAAAAGCAGCACATCTGTATAATTACTGCAATGAATATTCCATAATTTGCAGAAAATTGAAATATTTATGCCATATCATGCTGTTGCAGTTGTCTCCCTATACAACTGATAAATAGATTTTAGATTGATACTCAGATTAATCATCTTGTTGGGCTTTGCAGTTGGTTTGCAAGACGACAAAGTTCAGGTAGAAAAACAAGTATTTTGTGTATATTTTAATCAGTATATATCATTAAATAAAAAATCGCTAACAACTGTATTATTATATAAGAAAATAACTAATGTGCACATTTTGCATCATTTTGTTGTCGTATTGGGTAGTATGTGGAGATATTGGGGTGGTATTGGGTAAATCGTCACACCTGTGGGAATGTGGCTTAAATTTATTACTCACAATGCAATATTGATATGACCAAATTCTTTCACTTTTCCAAACAAATGCAGCCAAAAGTTAATAGGAAATAAAACAATTCAACTGTCATTTTACATAATGCATAAAATAATAGAAAATAATACAGAATAAACAATTAATTTACCATAAAATATCCCAAATATTATAAAAGATGTTCGTAAATACAGAAAACTAAGATATTTTAATGAAACTTTTGATGAAAATGGATTTATTTACATCACGTGACCTTAAGAACTTCTGAAAAGAAAATCTTAGTGATAGGCTAGGCTAACAATTTACAAACAAATTTTACGATTTGACATGTGACTGTGGCAATTTATGACTGATTTAGGGGAACAAGATAATAAGGAAATAAATGCCATCAATAATTTTAACAGTAAATGATTAATACTTCAATTAGAAACAAAAATCAAGGTCCAAGATTTCTATAAAACATGCGATGACTCTTCATAATGAGAGCGAGGTAGATCTCCGGTTAGACAAAGAGACAGGGGCCTCCAAACCTAGGTACAATTCGCTTCAAAGTGAAATCTTATTAATAGACATAATAAAGGATCAAACATAAAAAATAAAATAACACCACGTCGTTTGTGATGCAGTTAAACAATTTTTAGCAAAGTGTTTTAGAACCCTGGGGCTACTTAGATGTTGGATTATAGAAATATTCTAGGTTTTGCAGTTAAATTCTTTAGAATCGTACTTTTATATTTTGTTGCAATTAGTATTTATATAATATTTTGTTTTGCATGACCACAACTTCCTAAACTTGTTTTTCAGTTGATTTTTAGTTATTTGTCTGGTACCATTACATTACGATTATTCTTATGTCATTATTTATAAATGTGGTTTTCTTCTGCTGTCTGTCATCCACAATGCTTAAAATTTGAATGGTTATAATATAATTCATTATGATATATTATATGTAATAATAACAGGCTGCTATCCTTTTTGTGTTAACCAAACAAATCTTCCTCAAACAAAATTTGAAATTAGCTATAGTAATATTTTTATACAACTGGAGAGTGTAATACAGACTCGCTGTTGAAGACTATTAGTATAGGCTTAAAATTAAAGATAAGTAGCCAGAAGAATAAATTGGATCAGCATGTCTTAAGTCAGAATTCTTAAGATAACCTTTATAAAATTATTGCAAATATTTCTTTTGTAAATAAAGTGCAATACTACTGGTGATGTTTGTTTCCTTGCCTTTATTTCCATTTTTATTTGTATTTTAAATTAACATTTTGCATGTTATTAAAATGTTTTGGAATGAATTGCATGACTATTTATGATTGAATGTCATTTTCCCATTATATATTAGTACTTCATAGTTGAGTTCCTTTTTATTAACTTATTAACTTTTTTTTTTTTTATGTGCAGGCATCAAAATTTATTTGTTCCTATATATGTTTGCTATACTTATAACCAATATATTTGATAAAATAGGTTTATAAAATAGGTTAATAGAGCCATGAGCTCCACTTTTATAAAGATGTATATTTTTGATAATCGGTTGGGTATTTATACTAACCATACTTATTATTTAGAATTGAATTTAGATTGACATATGTTGTTCTTTATAGTCAGGGAGCCAATGTGGCTCAGTGTGTAAGACATTGGCTTGCGAACCTGGAGGACCCGTGTTTGATCCCTGCGTTGGCTGGGAAAGTTCATCAGGATTTTCTGACGTGGTTCCTCCTTGTCCATGGTGCAAAATCGAGGGTCTGGCAAGGGACAATGTATAGTTTGTATGACGTGCACGTAAAGGATACCTTGGTAGTTGGAATTCAGTTTAAGAGTAGGCTTTAATCCTGCTGTCTGGGCAAAATTTACCCCATAGAACAGTAGGACGTTAAACCCCATTTCATTTCTTTTTAGTCAAAATTTCCCTCATCATAGCACATTGCATGGCATATATAATATGCCTGTCTTCATTAGCCTGGTTGGTGATAGAAGAGTAGTGGGTTTAAACCCCATTTCACTTGATGACTACACCCTATTGTCTACAGTAGATGCTGAATATTGACAGATTTTCAATTTAATATCTTTGAACCATTTTTGGACTGATATTAGTGATATTCTTCTTAGAGGTCCACTTTTCACAATATTGAAGTTTGCATTCGCTCAATTTACGTTCAGAGACTTTAAAGAAATAATTTTGAATATAATCTAATTGGGACATGCCCAATGTAACTGCATAATCAAATCACATAAAATTTTAAGGCTGTATTCTGTACTATGTTATTGTAAAATTAGGGTCTGTGCCATTTATTTCTAAATCTTAAAAACAGTTTTATAAATATTTACCTATGTGCATGATTCCTGAAATTCACATTTTCACATCCTAATATCTATTATTGAATGTTGATAACAGTAACCAGTTATTTCTAATTAAAATGCATACTAATTTCCAATAAAATCATAAGCTTGTATTTTGTTTTGTTTAAATTGTATTTCATAGTTAATGAAACAGTCTTTATTAATAAAAGTAGAATCTACACATCAGGTTATGAGATCAGTTACTAAATAAATGAATGCTAAGTGGATTCATATTTGATACTAATTTAATTAATAATTACAGTAATAATTTGTGGTACTATGTAAGAGGGTTGATGAAGAACAATGACATGTTAGTATTGGTACTGATATTTTATAACATTATTTTATTCATTAAGTATGTTTTGATTTTTCAGTGGATGAACTTAACTTAAGTTTTGAGAAATTGGATAGTTTGGATGAATCTTCAGAAAGAAAAAAGAGTACAGGTACTTACAGATTTTCAGACATTAGAAAGTAGTCCTACCAAAATACATTTTGGATCAAGAAATGTATTACAAACCGTTGCCATATTTTGAAAGAGATGGACAGAGAATTGGGATTATGGGTAGGGCTCATCCTCTCATTGTCCCAATGTTTCACATCGAATTAATCATCAAAAAAATACCAATTTTATTTACCAACTATGTTCCAAACTTGGCCCAAAAGCATGATAACAAAGGGTACTGATGACAACAAAAGTCAAATTTTCTCAAATTTGGCAGAGCAATGCTAATTGCAATTCCCCAAAAGACACCGAATATTTGTGGCAATAGGCTGTGGTTTGTCTGGTATTCATGGAAACTCACCCAAAAATGATGAGTTTTCTTGGAAATTCTACTTGTACATACTAAAAAGAGATATCGATAATCCCTTCTGTGGATTGAAAGCAGAGGTTATAAGCAACATTTCCACACCATAAACGTTATAAAATATCAACTCAAAGTATTTTATAATCTTTGTTGATTATTTACCTTCAAACTAGATTTTGTGATTTCCGGTATTTTCTTTTAATACGTCTACAACGAGTTTTAAAATACAACAATTTGTATGTAAAAATTAAGTATTTACTTCAGTGCACTACTCCGCCGCTCTCAAAACATTTTATACTTTCAAAAATGGTTGTCTTCGACCATCAAAAAAATGAAATTCAGCCATGTTCAAATCGCGATAGATATTAGACCTGGATAATCAGATCTTAGAAGGAATTCCGGATGACTTCATATATAGATAGACGTCAATGATCCAGTGGGAAACTGCTGCTGGAGGTGGCTGTGATTGTTTATTGCTGATGATGTCAACGTTGTGTACGATGTCATAATTTATTCAAGAACTGATCTAGGTCGGGGCAACCTTCTTGTTTGCTATAAATAGTTTTTTTCTTTCTGCTTGTATCTCCATTATTACACAACAAACGATCAGAGTTTTATGTGTCCTCTGGGTTATTTTACACATGGAACAAGTGTGCAAAGTCTTTATAAGATTGGTGTTGAAAAGTTGGTGCGTATCTTAGACTGCTCAACGCCCTTAAGTTTAGATATATTTAACACAAAGTGAGACCTGTGTCCTTTCTAACAGGATCCATAAAATCGATTGACTGGTCTGATTGTTTTTGGATTTTTTGTAGTTAGTTACTTACATGCAGACAAAATTTATATTTATTGTCATAAAAAGTATGTATTGTAAACATGACATTGCTACAGTTAAGAATTTGAAAACTTAAGAAGCATGTTCAACATGATGGTAAGTTTTACTAACCCCAATGCAAACTATGATCATTCATTTTGTATAAACCATGATATCAAGCAAGGTTTTTTTAATTTTATGAATAATTTGTGTTATTATAGATTCCTCTTTTTCGTTGGAGAAATTTGATGGAGGCAATGAAGATTCTACAGAAGCGAAACCATTAAAACATTTGGTTAAATCTAGACCTAAACGACAGAAAACCAGAGCACCTACAAGGCCTGTAGCACCAGGAATTACTCCTCTAGATAATGCTACTGATGATGGTATTGGTGCCTTTTATGTTCCACCAACAATTTCTGCAGAACCTATTACTTCATCACCATCGAGAAAATCTTCTGATACTTCTACTAAATCTAGTGGAAATCAATTACAGAAACCTACAGAAACACCGTAAGCATGTTAATTGTTTTACAGACTGTATTTTACTTGTCTACTGTAATTAAATGTCTGTGAAATGCAAAATGTAATTAAATGTAAGTCAAATGCAAAACTCAGCTGTCGTCAGCAGTGAAAACAGCACCTGCTCTTAGTTCAGTCTAATGTAGTGAAGAAAGTGAAAACTGTAAAGACAAAACCAATCAAAGATATAATTTTAATTAGATTGATCAACTAAACAACAACTAGCCACTCTTGATATTTATCTTAGATCTTATGTATTGAAAAAAATCAAAACCATATATAGACGAAATGAAATAAGAAATATCATTTGGAAATGAAAAAAAATAGGGTTTAACGTCCTCCTGTTCTGCTTTGAACTGGGCTAATGAAGACAGGCATACACCATACAATGTGATATGGGGGAAATTTTGCCCGAACAGCCCGACATGGCACTACGGCCTACTCTTATATCGAATTCCAACTGTCAAGGGTTCTTTTACGAGCACGCTAATGTGTACACAGAACCTTGGTTTTTCATCCCATCCAAATGACTAGACAGCTGTCCTTGTCGGGCCTTCCGTCCTCCATCACTGAACTTTCTCGGCCAGTGCAGGGATCAAACACTCGACCTCCAGGCTAGCGAGCCAGCATCTTACCCACTTAGATACCGTGACCACCAATATCATTTGGATTAGATTGATGGACTAATAGTAATACTACTAATAGTGAACGGGAGAGAAACTATTAAGAAAAGTGAAAAGAAATCCCTCAAACTTGAGCAATAGTTTTTATTTTTTATACGTCCACCTGAAATCTTGTTGTCTCCCAGACATCCGTTCACATTTGTTAGTGGACACTCTACAAGTCACAATTTTTATCCTGTTGATATTTGTGCTTATCAGACTTTAACTTCGTGGATCATGGCCTGTAATTATATGAAAAATCACGTTTTTAGCTCCTGGACCCTCCAGAGGCTAACTGCTTGTTTTTGGTTTGTTTCTTGTAATTTGAATTTTTATTTGTTATAGAAAATCAGAGAAAAAGAAAGGATGGTCACCACGTAATCTTATGAAAGATAAAGATAAGGATAAAGACAAGGAAAAAGAGAAGGAGAAGGAAAAAGATAAAGGAGAAAAGAAAGGGTAAGTGCAGCCTATACCCTTTCAGCATAATTGTTAATTGATAACCATACATACAGGTGGGATTTTAAAAGAAAAAACGTAACTACATGTATAGGCCAAAAGTGACCCAAGCCCTGTAAAATAGTGGATTTTCCATGTATGTGGCAGTAATTTTCTTCCTGTAGCGTGAAACATTTGATTTTTGATATTTAAGGTCCTTGTTATCTCATGGCTTATCAAACTTTTTCGGAAGAAAGAGTGGAGGAAAGGGTAAGAATCCTATAGACCCAGAAGCAAAGAAGCTGGCTGAATCACCACCAACTATACCTGAGGAAAAAAAGACACCGGTAAAACAACAACAACAACAATCAACTGTTTCATACAATAAAAAGTCAGAGGAAGTAGATGTAGACCAATCTGAAGTTAAAGCTCCTATAGTTAGTGCAGAATGTTTTGATGATGAGAAAACACATACAGAAAAAGGTCAAGAAAAGGAAAAAGAAGAAGGTACTGTATTACATTTCGTCGGCGAAGTGTCAAAAGGGTGTATCTAAGAATTGAACCTTTTGCATTTCAAAATTTCCACAAATCAAGATACAACATTTGGATACATGATACCCAGAACAGTTCTAATTGGTGTAGAGATACACAGCTTAGACAGAAGTGTGCATATTAATTGGGAGATTTTAAAAATGCAAAAAAGGGTATTTGACTAATTTCCCCGAGATACACCCTTTTGACACTTCACCGACGATTTGTTGTCTTTAAACCCATATTGTAATAATAATAAGAATTTATAGTATAAAGTACTATAGCAACATTCTGGGCATATGAACAAATGTTCTAGATGTACAAACAATATAGCATGCAGTACAGAAAGAATAGATCTCTGTACTGATCATGAATGGTCACCATATTGTTAACTGATTAGCCTGTAATCCGTGTTCAATTTCATTATATATGATCTTAAAATTCTCAGAAGTATACTCGAGTGTTTTTGACTAATATCAGCGAAATAGGAAACAAAATGTCAGTCAGTTATCCTTGTGTCTATTCTTAAGCGGAGTTAGTTGTAGACAGACGGTGTAAGTTTTGTATGACAATAAATGTTGTGTGGGGGTTCAAACTCCAAACATACATATTCAGTTGTCTGTGAATAATACTAATATTATTACATATATTTTTAATTGTATGTTTTTATTATAGACTTAAGTGAAGAGAAAGAAACAAATGATACAGTAGGTAAAATACCAGCTAGTTCATCTCGTACTGGTATGGGTTTAGGTGGTAATATATTACTAGAAATGAAACAAAAACAAGAAAAACGATTTTCTCAGCAAATCAAACCTAGGACATCGGTAATTATTCTAACTTTTTATACGCAAACATTTACAAGTGGATGTATATTGTCGTCACCCCTGTCCGCCCGGACACCGTTCACATTTCTTTGTGGACACTCTATAGATCACAATTTTTATCCAATTTTGACAAAACTTGAAATATAGGTTTATCTCCCAAAGATCTTGGTTCCTTTTGATATTGGCATGTGTCAGACCATAACTATGTATTATGGCTCCTAATTGTATGAAAAATCATGTTTTTAGCTTGTGGACACTCTAAGAGGTCACAATTTTTATCTGATGAAACTTAAAATGTACATTTACAACCCAAAGATCTTGGTTCCTTTCATATTGGACCCTAACTTCCTGGGTTGTACAAAAAATCATGATTTTAGCCTGTGGTCCCACTCGAGGTCACAATTTCTATTCGGTTTTAAAAACCGTTCAAATATATCACCGTTAAACCCTAAAAGACAATTAAATTCGAATTTCGTGGAAATCGGATGGAAACTGTCCTGCAAAATGGCCACTCCTCGTACGCAAATAGTGTAAAAGTATGTAATAACAATGTTGTGGTCACAATTTTTATCCGATTTTGATGAAACTTAAAATATGTGTTTATGTCCCGAAGATTTGGGTTCCTTTTGAAACTTCCTGGATTATGGTCCCTGATTGTACGAAAAATTGCTTTTTTCTTTTAGCTTGTTCTCTGTCCATCTCTTGAAAAATGTGGGCATATTTTGCATTGCAACTGCTTTTTGTCCCCTGCCTTTCGAAGAAAGCAGGGGACTATTAAAATGGGTCTGTTTGTCTGTCCTTTTGTCTGTGTCTATCTAGACACAATAACTCTCCTTTTCACTGAGCTAGAATGTTCAAACTTGGTGTACGTGTTTATTAGGTGAATGGCTTGATGGAGTTTGAAGATGAGCATTTTCTGCTTAGGGTAAGCAGAGATCAACATTTGATTGGTTAAGGCTTTGGGACACGATAACTTTGGTTCTAATTAAGTGAGAGTGATGAAACTTATTGTATAGTTTCATCACATCAATAATACCTTGACTAAGTTTGATAATGATTGGTTGAGACTTTGGAACTTTGATTCTAATTGAGTAATAGTTGTGAAACTTTGTGTATAGTTTCATCACATCAATACCTTAACAATGTTCGATGCTGAGCATTTTCTGCTTAGGCAAAGTAGAGACTTCAATCTGATTGGTTGAGACTTTGGAACACAATAACTCTCCTTCTAATTGAGATAGAATGTTTAAACTTTGATGTAGGTGTCTATATGAACGCCTTGACATAGTTCGATCGTGAGCATTTTCCTGTAAGGCTAAGCAGAGATAAGCAATTTGATTGGTTTAGACTTTGGAACACGATAACTTGGTTCGAATTGGGTGAGAGTGATGAAACTTCAATACCTTGACTAAGTTCGATGATGAAAATTTTCTGCTTAGGCTAAGTAGTGATAACCAATTTGATTGGTTAAGACTTTGGAACATAACAACTCTGCTTTTAATGGAGGTAAAATGTTTAATCTTGATGTAGATGTTCATTAGGTTAATGCCTTGACTGAGTTCAATGATTAACATTTACTGCCAAAACTAAGCAGAGCTAAGCAATTTCATTGGTTGATTCTTTGGGGCAAGATAACTTTGATTCTAACTGATGAAGAGTGATGAAACTTAGTGTATACTTTCGCTACCAGGAACTTCAAAACCTTGATTGATTTTGAACGTGAACATTTTATGTTAGACTAAATATAGATAATCAGTCTGATTGCTCGATTCTTTTGAAAAAGATAAATGTGCAATTAATTAATATGTGTCATCTATTTATTTTTGGGATTTCGGCAGGGCTTGTTTATTAATAGCACAACTTTTATTGAACAAAAGACAGGGCCAAATATTCTAGCATTACTAAAAATAACTGCTTTATAGCACCTGAGTTTAAAGAATTAATATCACTTTTGCTCAAAACGTTGTTTTAAATTATTTTGTTTTTGATTACAGCCAAAGGAAAAAGATGACCATGAAGCAAATAATAATGTGATTGATAAAAATAAAGCTCAGAAAACAGAAGAAAATAAAACAGTATTAAAACCTGCAAAAAATGAAACAACGACAACTGTAGATAATGGTTCACTAGAAGCATCTGATGTAAAGTCATCTAGCAAGTCAGATGACACAAAACGAGCCTTAATACCGAACGCAAATAAAGCATCAAGTGATGTTAAAAAACCTTTATGTATACCTGTAGAACCAGTACTTACTGAGAAAAGTCCACGAGCACCACCACGAGCCTTACAACCACCTAAGAAACGTGTCTCACCTACACAACCTGCTGATACTGAAGCAACAGTAACTCTTGATACCAAACGTAAGTCTAGATACAAAGGCTGATTTAAGGGCTGGGACAGATCTCCCGTTTAGAAAAATTAAAGTTTCCTTTACAGATTTGTGAATATTTGTGTAGTAATAATAACTTGTAAAAGCAAAGTATAATCTAGAAAATTTGATTTTATAATTTTTATTGGTAAATAATTATATTTGAATATTATGGTTTGGTCAGACTAATAGTGAAATGCTTTCTATGTTTATAGCTACAGTTGTTCCTAGATCTGTTAAACCACCCCCACCAACTAAACCACGACCACCAGCTCTAGCACCTAAACCTAGAGCTAGTTTGCGTACATCTAAAGATGTTACAGACAGTAATAGTAAGTGCATCATAAATATAAAGAATGATGATGAGTTTAAATTCTCTGTTGATAGTCCTGAATCTTTCTCCAAATTCTGTATGCCACAGTTTCTATGCATAAGTTGATAGTGCTACCCTTAAGATTGTAAATGTGTAATTGTTATTGAAGCAGTTTGATAAATGATACGTGATGGAGGTTGAGCCTACGAAAACACACCATAAATGTACCAGCCTAAAAGTACTGTTATGTGGAAACCCCATTGTCAACAATGGGCCAGTGTTCTTGTGCAGAATGCAGGGAATGTGGTCATAGGTTGTTCTTTCTTGAGAACCAAATAAACAAGCATCAAGATTAAATATTGAAACATTTTATTCTGTTCCCTGTTTATTATTTGTTGTTATTTTGATTTCAAAAAAGTAAATACAAGAATGCATTGGTTACTGTATATAAGGATTTCCTTTTTCTAGTTCAATCAGAAGAAGTCAAATTACGAGATAAACCAGAAGGTCAAATAGTAACAGATTCAGCAACTTTAAGATTATCTGTTCGTGAAAAGATTAAAAGATTAAGTAAAGCACCTATAGAAGAAAGTCCTCTTATTAGTAGTCCTACAAAATCGAAATCTAACTCCACTGATAGTAAACCACACTCTAGTTCAGGTATGCACTCTTTGATTTGATTTTACTGCTAATATCACATTAATATCACATGTGGTCTATATTGCTGTTGCCCCCGTCCAACGTCCACAATTGCTTGTGGAGGCTTTAGAAGCTAAAGTTAATATCTGATGGACTTTAAATTTATACTCAGTGTTTAAGGTCATGAGATGAAGAAGCATATTGATTTTCAACAATTTCCGATAATTACTGCCATAGTAATGGCCCTTGATCACTTTGAAAAATCTTGTGGACACTCTAGAGACAAAAGTTAATATCCGATTGACTATAAATTTGTACACACTGTTTACGTTTATGAGATGAAGAAGCCTAATGCTTTTCAATGATTTCCGATAATTATGGCTCTTGATTATTTAAGAAATGTTGTGGACACGCTAGAGGCTAAAGTTAATATAAATTTATACACAGTGTTTAAGGTCATGAGACAATCCCAAAAGAATTATAATGATTTCTGATAATTACTCATAATCATACTTTAGTGTGTTGTAAATGTTTTCATTAGTGAGAAAAGAAAAATATGTGACAACCCAGTTGTCTGCCCGGGCGACTTTGCTGCTATGGGTGTATATTTCATTGTCCGACAGCCTATCTTATTTTTAAAATTACAATAATTGAATATTGTGTACTCTATTGGAAAGAAGACTTGGTCCCTTTCCCATAATTATTTTACTTCTGTCATGCAATTAAATGGTTCCTGAGATAGGTATAGTACAACAGAAAACAGTCAGGTTAAAAAAATGTTGATGACTTATGAGATGGTGCTGATTGCCCCATCTGTCACAGTTCATTTACATGTACCAGTTTTCCCTTGTCCAGTATATATAAATTTAAATTTTATTCTTGGTTCGGTTAACAATTTTTCAGATGAAGGTGAACGTGTATCCAGTCCCTCATCATTAGATAGTATTGATGGCGAGACATCAAATAAAGATTGTGTAAATAATGAAACATCCCCTCAACATAAATCATCTAATTCAATTGATTCTACAGATAGTGTTAACGATACTGATAAAAATCATGACGATCCCTCACCCAAAGAAGAACATAGTGTTCCTAAACGGTCTTCCAGAGCAGAAGATGAAATCATGGTTTGATAAATATGTATTAAAATGTTATTATTATTATACAGCATAAGCATCATTTCAGGTTACATTTGTTTTGTCAGTTAGTCTTCATAATTCATTCTTCACAAAAAAAGAGAGACATATTAGCTTTGTAGATCTTCATTTAATAAAGCGAATATGACTTAATGTGTACATATGCAAAACATATGCTTGATAACCAATATAGATATCAAGTACACGCTTTCACATTGTAGGAGATCGATCACAAACTTAAGGCAATTTGATTTCAAATGAGATTTTAATTCCTTGGCTGAAATATTTAAAAAAAAAAACTCTCATAAATATAAACCAAAATCAAAGAGGAAACATTTCACTGATTTTCACTTGATCTTTATTCATTCTAAACTGTATCCAAAAGCACCAAAATATTTAAGTGGATAGTATTAACTAGAAAACCATAGGCTAAACAGCCTTTGATAAGGTTTTACTTATTGTAATTTTGTAAATTTTTTAAGTTGTATATCTAGTCGATTTTGACTCTAGCCTAAATTCATTTTTCCTGGAATTTGCCATTGTATTAGCCAACAAATAAAAACAGTTTTAGAGAATTCATTCTGCATGCTGTATTATCACTCTGAAAATCAAACCTACTTAATATAGCATGGGATAAAATGATAACATTGTCTTTCACTTGGTCACAGAAATATAAACAGATGCCAGATTCTTGCTTGGTTTTGGATTATATAAGCTTAATCAATTAAAAAAAAGGTAACAATTGCTTATATAAATGTAGGTATATGTAAAAAGATTTTGTATAGTTATAGAATAATTAATAACTTATTGTAAATAGTACAGTAGATGTGTACATCTAGTTTAAGAACAAGTTTTAAATGAAGAAAAATGCTTTAGGAATTGGTCAATTGATGATTGTGATAAAGAAATATATTTCAAAAATGGAACAGTCTAGTTTAACATGTTTCATGTGTTAAAATAATTCCATTTTCGATGGAGCTGTGATGAAATTGGAATAGTTTCAGCTAGTTATAAACAAATCTGTAGTAAATATTCAACTGGAATTTGGATCCAAATTACTTGTTTTAATCATGTAAAAAAAACTGTTTGGCAGTAACTTCTGATAAATGAATTTAAACCAAAGTATCTAGACTGTCAAAGCATAATTACTGATTGTTTGTTAGTAGATAATTTGTATGTAAATAAAACATATATGCACTCACCATTTTAATATATTGAGTTTACAATGCCTTATAATTAATATATTATGTAGTAATTATATTTTCTTTAAAATTATTTCTTTTTTATATGAATCAAAAATGATTTTTGTTAAATTCTTTTGATACAACTGTCGTGGAGTCACAGGCCTTTACTCACATTTTACTATGTATAAATATATAAAATATTGTATTTAACTGATTTTTTTTTCTGATCAAAAAAAAATGTAAGCTGGCCTTACAAATAAATATACCATACAATCATGATATGGTTTTGAATAGCCATAGAAAGGAAGAGGAATTACCACAAATCTAAATATTGTCTTTCTATTGGAAGGATAAAAATTTAGGAATTTGTAAATTTTGGAAAATTCTTCCTAATTCTGAATTATGGACTTCATATGTGAAGGAGACAAAACAAACTAATCTAAGAGGGCACAAATTCACATAGTATAAATCGTACCAATCTTTTTTCAGTAAAATCAAATTAATATATTATATATTTTTTATTAGTTTAATTACTACTAAAATTAATGGAGAAGTCCCAGTTTTGACAAAATAGCCAGCTCGCCTTGTCTGAAAGTGTTAGCTAAAAAATGAGACTATTGAGTATTATTTGTAAACTTTGACTGAAGGTAATTAATATTCAGCAATAAGCTGCAGATTCTACTAAGACACACCCTCAAGAAGCTCATCTCCAACTCCATTGGAGGATGGTATTTTTTGGAAAACCTATCACAGAGCTTCAGATAGTTGCTTGTGACTAGAATAAAAAATTCTAAGGCACACCCACACACATCCAGTTTCATTTACTGAAATATATCTGGGATTTCTCCTTTTATCTGAACCATTCATTTTTTCTATTAGAATGTTTTTGTGTTGTATATTGTTCATTTCTCTGTACAAGTATGAAAGGTATTCTAATATATCAAAGCTCAATTTTGCTTCTTTTTTTTTTCTTTCTTTCATTTTACACCCATCTATTTTTATACGCCCACGTGGAAATGTGTTCGTATATTGCTTTCGCCCTTGTCCATCCTTCCGTCGTCTACAATTCCTTGTGAACACTCTACAAACTACATTTATCATCTGATTGTTTTGAAATTGATATATGTTGTTTACATTAGTGAGATAAAGAAGCCTACATGTAGTACATGTATTTAATTTCGTCTAGAGTTATGGCCCTTGTTTCACTTGTGAATGTTCTAAAGAAAAAAGTTAGTAAAATGAAAAAGTCTGTAAAATACTTCCAGAGTTAAGGCCCTTGTTTCAGTTTCTAGAATCTTGTGAACCCTCAAACTACAAAAATTATAATCTGATTTGTATGAAATTATCTTGTAAATGCCGCCCTCATTACCTACAAAAGAATAAATATGCAACAACCCTTGTCATCCACTTGGACGACGTAGATGCTGTGGGCATATATTTCATAACCTTGTTTGTATTTGTGAATATATTGTAGATGATGAAACAGACTGAATTTGTATTTCGCATAGTCCAAACATCATTAAAGTAGAGCTTCACTTCATAAATATCTTCAGGAATCTTATACCTCATTCTTACCTGTAATACATACCAGTCTTCCTGTGTTTTATGTTCATATTCTTGAGAATATGTGGGTTTGACAGTAATAAACATAGCCCATCTACAATTTCATTGTGCATGTATGTATTCGGATCAATCATCTATTGATGTATTTCCGCCAATTAGATGTTAGCCTAAATTCCCAGGATACCATAAAAAGTGGATTAAATATGAAAAATTTTAATAGGATTACATATTGTAAGGATTTTCATGCTTCCATCCTATGAGTGACTTGACAATTGTCACAATGTCGTACCACTTCAGCAATAGACAGAGTTACCCAGGCAATTACAATGATACATAACATTGAATTCAGGGACTTATTTACCTACCCATGGAAACTGGAAGTTACTATTTCTTTGAAAAATAATCACAGAGCTTCAAATTGCTGCAGTAGACTAAGATTAAAGGATCTGAGGGTCTGTTAACCTGAATTAACCAGTTTTATTCACCAAAATATATCTGGAACTGCTCCACTGCTTTAAAATAACAGTTGTTTTCTACCAATTTGGGCCATTTTGAGTATGAGAGTAAATGTATATATCCAGATCAGTTTGGTAAACATTATTGATTTTGTCATAGTTTCCATGTATGTTTAAATCTATTTGCTATGGTAAAGTTTATGCTTTGCTACTTTTTATAAACTAGGACTACAATATTCTATATATTAAGTATATTTTATATGCCAATAGTTAGTTATTAAAGGGTTACAACCAAAATCAATCAATCCTGATATTGTTGATTAAAAATGAAGTGTTGACAAAGTGTAAGTACCTAGTAATCATACCCACTTGGCATTTTATAACATTTAATGAATAATTAACAAAATTTGTATTATCTTATATTGAATTAATTCATTGATTGGAAAGTAAAGAGAGGTGAAAAAAAATCTTTTTAGAATCTGTGATAAGAAGAAAAAGTGAAGTATGTATTTAAATTTATTACTTTTATTATATAAAATAAATAATATTATATACATTATTTTTAAGAAGTAACCTTTCATAAATTTATGTGCCCTGTTTTTTCTAATTGTGCTAATAGAAATGTTTCTAAAAAAAAATGGGTGCTATATTCTTATTGCTCTTTTGTGCATCTTATGTATATTGCTTGTCAACTATTTGGTCAACTGAACTCAAATTATGTGAAAAAATTATGTGAACCATTTCTTAAAACCAAGGTACATTTTAATGTGATTCGCATCAAGGTGTATGACTCTGAATTGGAGTACAAATGATCCACCTGTCGTAATTAATTTTAAGGACTACTTCAGTATTCAAGAGAAATTCCCATGTAATTTAATTAAAGACTTTGAATTGAATTTCCTTTTACCTTGTATATGTATTGAATATAATATATGCAGCTTTATTTGCACTCTATTACAAATAAGCAGTTCATTTCTACATTTTGTTTAATGATGATTTTAATAGTCAACTTGTCTTATTATTGACCATTATAATTTATTACTTCAATTTATTATATCAATATATACACTTTAGATACTAATAAAACATTTTTACCATTAAAATATTATCATTATACATTTGTACTGTTTTTCTTTTGGAAGAGCCACAGGCATTTCTGATAGTCTTAAAGGACAATATTGGTGTCAGCCATTATCACATATGTAATAGAACTGGTTAAATACGTTCCAAATATAATTTTAACAGAGATCATTTCTATGATAAATGCGTAACAACGATTTGAAGAAACGGAATTGACGAAAGCAAAAGGAAAACGCAAACTCAATACGCCCACATTGTCGCCACCTCTCAGTCCTAAAGTTGTCATAAGATTAAATTTATCCACAGTGTTTGAATTCATTAAACGAAGAGGCCTATAGACGGTCAAAAATTTCCGACAATTATTTTGGAGTTATTGTCCTTCATCAATTTTAAAAAAATGGATGCTCTAGTGGCTGAAGTTGTCATCTGATTGACTTGAAATTCATACACACTGTTTAGGTTCATGAGACATAGAATCCTATTGAATTTCAAAGATTTCTGTCAAAGATGTTGATATCTTACCATAAAATATCCAGTAATTAAGACGAAATAAAAATTTTGAAAGTCACATAAAGCGTGCCATAATGCTTTTGAGTGCCATTTGTAACGAAGCGGCTTGAAGAACGAGGCTAACATATCCCACAGGGGAGAATACAAACAGTGTAGACTGGAGTAACCAGACACCAAAGACTGCCATTCAATTTAAATTCACCAAACATAACTAATTATAAATTACAGTAAAAACAGAAACAATTGAATGTAAATCAGTTTACATACATTCATATTATTATTTCATAATTATATGCATTGCGACCCATTTGTGTCCATTTCTAGGTGCCAAAGAATAGCAATTTATCTCCTTTAACCTGAGCAGAAAATGCTCATTATTAAGTATGTTCCAAAAATGTGAAGACCAGATGGACAAACCCAGCTTTCTTTCAAAGGCTAACCATTAAACCGGTGGAGAATACCTGTGGTTATTACACTCTGCACACAGAGATCCATCTATTTCATACTTGGAGAATAGATCTCTGTTCTAAATGGCTACTATATCCAACAATTAGTATACTGTTTTGTATATACTGGGGTGTTAAACTCTTTAAAATAAAACAATGGATGGGCAGTATTCTTTTTGCATTATACATCTATCTGTTTATGTATGGAAGTCATAGATTTGTATGTGCACATACATTATTGTATAGGACCTTCAAAATAAATAAAATTATACGGAAATTATAAAGTGATGGTATAAATGGTGTAACAAACAGATCTAATATCAATATTTATTTAATAAAATTATACATACTGCATTATTTGAATAGAAACTTTAAAATAAAATGAAATTGCTCTCATGGATAACGGAATAATCTCCCTTTAGTCTCCCGATTCGACATTCATTTTATTGCCCACCACTATGCTATGGTCATGGTTTTAATACGTTGCTGCAAATCAAGACATGGTACGTACAATATCTACGAAATTGATAATTCCGGGTTTGATATTTTATTTCCAAGAACTTAACTCCCTTTCGTCTTTAAAATAAAGTTCCCATGATTGTTCTAAAAAAAATATTTGAAATTGCAAATAATAATGTAATGATAAACCAATGCATACGGCCTGTAACTTTGTTAAAGAATATTAAAAGTTCTGCATTCTTTTAGACAAGGCTGGTGATAAACTCTTGTAACCAGTCAGACGCAAATCCTTTCCCTATATTCCAAATCGAAGGAATACTTGAACAGTTCAGGATGTACCATGTCTTTTGTCATTGAAAGATAAGTGCAGTGCTGAATTGCGGTAAAATATTGAATAGCTATGCATCGACCAGTGTTATGAGAAATACATGTATTTTGACATTGGCCCATTGTTACGCCCGTTGTCTCATCGAGGGTTGCTACTGTTCCGTCTATGTAACCGTTAACCACGTTTGTGTATGCACTTCCACGTACACATTCATCTGGAAAGAAAACAAATCAATGCATTATATATTTATTATATACTGTTATAAGAGCATCGCAAGCCTATTTAATGAAGTAGAACTTCTATATTTCTAGGAACAAAGACTCAAACGATAATATTGAGGGTTAGTTGAGCCTCGGGAGCCTCATTAATGTTAAAGAGCACGTTATAACTGGCCGAACTAAAATACCATATGGGTTATTTTAGTTCTTTGAAAGGTGCTCTGTTTAATATATTGAAGTGGTTAAACGAATGGGTGACAACGAGAAATCGGCCAGGTAGGTATTTTGCAAGATTCAACTTAATTAGACTAACTCACAGACAGTCCTTGCCATCATCAATTGCTGAAAGTATGGTACTATCGTCCAGTCATCTCCTACACAGAGCAGTCCAATTAAATAGAATAGTGTTGACGTAAAACGGTGCCGATACGAAACACTTACCCCCGCAGAGCCTCGTCTAAGGATTTAGTCGTGCGCGGCAATGTCGGGCCCGCGAGCACCGTAGGTGCGAGTCGTGCGAACACCGCAGGTGAGAGCCCGCACGGGGGGGGGGGGCTGGGCCCTTCCCCGAAAATTTTGAAAATTGACTTCCTTTAACTCGATTTCTAAGCACTTAAAAAATAGTTTCGGAGATTTGATACACTATTAGAGACGATTTTTTAAACCTACGCACCATGATATAGTATTGGCACATGGGAAAACCTTGTCAGCGATTTTCAAAACTTATGTATGTTGCCGCCCAGTCTCCAACTTTTGGGCTCAGTAGGCGGCACAGTTTGGCCATTGCGCGGCAGCGGCGCCGCCTAGTCACCATGTTAAACGAGGCTCTGAAAAGTGGTAATTGGCCCGCCTAATAGCTGACGCATCGTTTCCTTCTATATAAGAACGAGCGTGATTCAAGTTAATTCAGACATCATCCAGTGTTCCTAGCTGTACGACTAGCCGCCTCGGCTTAGATGCCGGGATACCGACATCATTAGGAGTTCCTAAGGGAACATCATACCTACAGCTTCCTCGGCTTACGGGCCAAGAGGGAGTTCGTCTTTTAGACTTGGAAAGAAGAGCGTAACGCCGCAAAACCGAAGCTATAGGATAGAGAACCTATATTTAGCATATATTTAAAGGACAATATTGGTGCCAGCCATTATCACATATGTGATAGAGCTGGTTAAACACTTTCCAAATATAATTTTACCACAGAGATCATTGCTACGATAGTTGAGTAATACAGGTATCCTAAATCGGAAGTGACGAACGCCAAAGGAAAACACGAGTCATCTCTCCATATAACTGACTGATGTGACGAGTGATAACGGATATACGGGCGAATTCTGCTCACTAATAATTCCTTCGAAGACCAAAAGCTGTTGTGTGAGATTGTGAGAGGATATCTGACAATTCATAAAAAGAATTGACTGCCACTATATATAGATAAGTGAACACGAAAGAAAAACAGAAAAAGTCCGTGCATTACCATGTTTTTATAAGGTATAGAATGAATATAAACAAGGGAATGTACGGAATATTTCTATTTTTCTCGTGTTCTCTTATCTAATGACATTCAATTACTTTATTGAATTGTCAGGTATCCTTTTACAGTCCCATATAACAACTTTTGGTCTTCGAAGGAATTATTAGTGAGAGGAAATTCGGCCGTGTATCTGTTATCACTCGTCACATCAGTCAGTTATATAGAAAGATGACTCGTGTTTTCCTTTGGCGTTCGTCACTTCCGATTCAGGAAACCTGTATTACTCAGCTATCGTAGCAATGATCCCTGTGTTAAAATTATATTTGGAATCTGTTTAACCAGCTCTACCACATATGTGATAATGACTGGCACCAATATTGTCCTTTAATGCCAAAGCTGCGTGTGTTGTTTCCTGTATATAACCATTGTATTATGGATGTTATACAGATATAAAAACATAGTTATTATGGATGTTATAAAGATATATAATCATAGCTTAACCAACAAAGTGTTTCAGAGTCAATTGATCCTTGGAAATAGTTTCATACACAACGTGAAATCAAAGTTCCTAATTGACTGTTTTGTCACAGTCCTTCTCTTTTTAGTGCTGTGACGAGGGATATAGTCACGACATGTAGTGTTACATAAATAGCAAATTTAACATATTTAAGTTAGCAATTACATACATAGAAGTACGGATATTAGCATACGCATTTTACTATGTTAGGAGTTAGAATTATGACGGAAATTCTGCTCCATACTTTTTGGGGTTTACTTTTAGAGAGTGATTTCGTTGAGGGCAAAGTTTTACCTGTCGTAATTGGATGAATTGGACCAGTTTACTTCATAGCAAATCTATGCGTGTTTCTTTTATTTTAACACAAGCAATTATAATCAAATGGCAAAAATCATAAAACATTTTTGTGGATCCTGTGTCTTTGTTTCTTATCGCGCGCGCCATCAAAAGAATATTAACTTAACATTTGTCAGTGTCCTTTGTCCTGTGATTTTTGATGGTCCAATCGAATATACTACCCAAATGTTTGCTGTTTCGGAATTGTTCCAACTTCGCGATACACAATTTCCATTTTCCGCGCTTGGACTGCATGAAAACCGAGCAAGAGAAAACTAAACCATTACCTCCGCATTTAGGAGAACACCGGTTCTGTGAAACACAAGCAACTGAATTCTGGTACAGATTCATCTCCTGAAATTCAACGAATAATGCTGTAATAATAAATCTTTAATTTCCTGGTGTATTTATAATTTTTATTACTTGTTAGGTTTTTGGGAGGGTATTGTTTATTATTTATGTCTACTGTTTTACTTTCAAAAATTCCTAGACTAAAGTCGCCATTTTATAATATACCCAGTCGATCAAGCTACCATGTTAAATCGCTACACCGGGTTCTAACCCAATTGCTGTCCGAGAAAGACTGTCAGAATTTTTCAAGCCCAGCTCTTGCTGTGTGTGATTTAAAAAGGAAATTATCGCGATAGTATCATCCTCTGTACTATTATTGTAATAGGCTAAGGTGGGTTTAATATGAATACGACATGATAATTATCTAGAAATTATCCGAATTGTCCAAATGTCCGAATTAGGGATATTCATGCGAACGGAGCGAGTCTGTGTATCATACCTGGGGTAAAGATATTTTGCATGGTATGCGGGGGAAACCTGCAAAGATCTTCCCAGCCGTTTCGTATAGATGTAATCAAATATATCTATTGATGTTCTTCCACCCTAAATCTGAAGATAATATGACGACGTTATAATTCAAAAGTGTGGAGGCTATTTTAATTTAAAATAATTTAACTATGTACTTTTTATATGAAGATTGCCATATAGAAGTTTCATGAGCCAATTTCCCCCATTACTATCGATGCTAAGATGCAATTTTTTCTGTTGACAGTCGTCCTTATTCAGTACATTATATTCCAAATCATGTATTTCGCCGAAAAGTTGTGAGAGTTTAACGTCCACTCGACACAAACTACGTCATTTCGGGACTAACAAATGGTTTAATTTTATTTCAATAATTCGCTTGCGCGTAGGAGTCTTTAGCAGTGGGAGGACCCGGAGAAAACCCACGAGGTTGGACAGGTGACCCTACTCCTTGATACAGCGCGCACGTGCTAACCATTCGGTCTCCCTCCCCACCCCTCTTTATGAATAATAAAACAAAAGGTCTAATCATAGGCTTGCGAGACCGATCAGTTTGAGAGTGGGAGGGAGAATGGAAATGCGCGCACGACCTCGGAGCTATGTATAGACGGCCGCGAAAGCGTTTTCCGGCAATGAGCAAAGCAACCGAAAGTAGTACAATATTTATGTGGCTTTGGAACCAAAACCCCAATCTGTGCGGCCCACCTGAATTCCAAATTACCAGGGAGGGGGGGGGGGAGAAATGAAATGGTCGAAAGAAATCATGTTTAAATTATTGCGCTCGGATCCGATCCGCACAACTTCGAGTTCGGGGAAATGAGGGGGCCGAGGACATGTCCCACAGATAATTGATGAAAATTAGAATACCGCAAACGCGTTTTCCTGCTATTTCAGCCTATGAATATGTGACCGTGAGGTCCGTCAGATATTACAAGAGTCTGAATGGTTCTTCAAATCTTTAATACTGGAAACTTATAATAACAATTATCTACATACACTTACAGGACCGCGGATAACCGACTACTACCTTATGCTACTAAGTCGGATAGACCTAAATGACTGACGTATCAAGTACAATCACATATTTATATGGAATTACTTCTAATCACTTGGCTAGATCAAGTGTTGACATAAATAAGCATTGATGTAATAATGTACAATATAAGAAATAAAACAATGGTAAATAAAACAATTAATAGATTAATCATACGATTGGCATGTTTACCAGGCAGGCCATATTGTCAGTTACTTTCTATCTATAACAGTTTTATAAACAATAAGGGATTATAATAAATTAACATGTCATTAGGATTACATAACATTTCACCCTTGGCTAGTCACCTTTTAATAGCACACATACAATTAATGTTTTAAAGGAATAGAAAAGTTATTGTCCCGAGAGTTTAAATAAATTCAATCTGAAGGCTTTCACTTTTAAAATTAATAATGCATTATCTTAAATATTCAAGATTTAAATTATACTATAACCTGCACGGTTATAAATACAGCAGCCTGAAAATGTTCCACTATAGTCCAATCAACCAGTCAATCAATCAGACTTGCCGTTGCCTTCACATGACATTCGAAATTTCATGATGAAACAATAATGATGATGCCGAAAAACATGCCGGGCTCAAAGCTTGGTGTATAGAATAGCCCAAGACGCTGCTTGTTACATCCATTTTAAATGCTTTATCCATAGACAATTTAAAGAAATTTCGATTCCAGAAAAATGTATAACAAAAATAATGATCGATGTCCGAAAAGAGTTGCTCCAGACTAAAAGTTCATGGGATTTCGGGTATTTTATTTTGCCAACTAAGAATATATAATTATTATGTAAATGGTTTTTTTTTTTCCACTGTACTCGTCTTCATGAAAACTATAATTGCTCGTATGCCTATGGTGTTTAAAGGGGAAGTATGAACTGTCTTGTTTTGTTTATTTGTATTTCAAAAGATAGTAAATATAATTTGATGACGATCACAATTAACAAACGCATTCAATTTTATTCTCTAATTGACCAATACCCAATTTGCAGCACAGCATGAGACGAGCATGTGTCTTCTTCTTTCGGTCAGATTTGAAATCCAAAAATTCCCCCACTCCATCCCGCCTTTCAAATTTCAAAGTCATATGTTTTCATTGTATTTTTAAGAAAAGTAAATTTTAAATATGGAATAAGGTATATATTATTATTATTATATATATAAAAATAAAGAGAAACGAAATGAAATGAAATGGGTTTAACGTCCTACTGTTCTGCTCCTAAACTGGACTAACGAAGGCGGACATACGCCATACAGCGTGCTATGAGGGAAATTTTGCCCGGGCAGCGGCGCTACGGCCTATTTTTATATCGAATTCCAACTGCCAAGGGATCTTTTACGTGCACGCCAATATGTACATGGGACCTCGGTTTTTCGTCTCATCCGAACGACTAGACAGCTGTCCTTGTCAGGCCCTCCGTCCTGCATCACTGACAAGGGGAAACCCCGCCGGAAAATCTGGATTAACTTTCTCGGCCAATGCAGGACCTTTAGGGATTGTAACGGAAAAAATAAACAATAGAGTCGCAAGGAACAGCAAAAATATTTTATTAAAATATTAGGTTGTTGTGTAAAAGCAAAAAGCAATGCATACATTAACTAACGAAACCTACAGCCATTTGTGCAGAACTGTTCAAGTAATTACAGAAATGGTATTGTGTCTGCAAAGCGTAATCAAGTTCATTATAGATTTTGTGACATTTCAATATTTGAACACAATAATGGGTTGCTTAATGAGGCATTAATGGTCATAACAATATTATACACAACATATTTTAAAAATTAATGTGATATTAATGGCTTGTTTTTACTTTAATCTGTAAATTATTTCGCAATAATTTTAGAGCAGCTAGAATCCATTATGCGTTATTATAATGTATCGTTAAATCTTGTATTCAAGCAAATGTTAATTTCGTTAATCAATCGTTGTTGTCAATTTCAGTAATTATTCCAAACCACATTAACGGTAGTAATCAAATAATAATTTATTTTTTTAAATTCTATTCATAAATCAGTGATTAATTATCATTTTATTGATTAATAATTAATATTCTCTCACCAACATCAAATAACAAAAATGTACTATGAAAACATGCACACAGGTAATTGAAGGAATTAAAATAATTAAACTTACGTATACTGCTTGACTATATACTACAATAACACAATGTATAAGCCGCCATATTGTTTTGACATTTTGTCTGCTATCATCTCACAATACTCACTAGTTCTAACACTTCCCGTCGTTTTTATGGGCATATTTGGGTCTGTGGGCCGTTTTCATGGGCCTATAATGTCCCAATTCTGAGCGACTACTGACTCCAATATATCAGAAAGTATTCAGTTAAGACCTATATGGGCCAATAAAGGCCGATGAAAACAACCCACAGACCCAAATGTGTTTTAATGGATTCTTTGGCATCGCTTGAAGGCTGAACGTAAGATTTTACATGCGATAAAATTACATCACGTCCATGATTGAGGCGTAAGACTGGGACATATGTTTTCTTGCTTGAAGCGTATGACTTGAGATGGATTGGGTGTCTTTGGGGACTCATCTATAATTTTTGTAATCAATCTTTTGTAATCGACTTATTAGTTCAAAACGGAATACTTTCTGAGTAATTCGAATAATTAGGATTTCACTCAGAATTAATTAGTTAATTAGCTACTTTGGGCATTATCAAAACGCACAAGGCTGACAACGGTTCAGTAGCCAGAAATGGAATCAGTAAACCTTGTTCCATAAGAAACCGCCGAGAAAAAATCTTACGCTCCCAATCAAGGTATTTCCTAATGGCGTCAGCCACTTGAATTTTCAAAAAGGGCCGCCAAGAGACAAAAATTGCATCAGACCATAATTTCTTACGTAATGACCTTGCGCAAAATGTGAATAATGTACAAAGTCTGTGGTTCCTCTAGGGCTCACAATTTTTGTCCGATTTAGGTGAATCCTATAATATATGTCAAGGATCATTAAAATAGGAAAATTTGGTGCGACACTATCCCAAAAAATATTATTTTGTTGCCTGAAAGTCGACGTTCTCGAAATTGGTATTTCGAATGCTTAATAGACTTTTTCAAAAGAGAAGTCGTCAAGGAGTATTTGTGCAAATTTTGATACTTGTTTCCACATTTCTCTTTTTCACTTTACAAGAGTCAGGACATGCAGCATTGTTCCATTCGATCGTTCCATTAACCACATTTATTTTACCTCCTATTTCACTGAAAGATCGACTGACTTTTTGTTTTGAACTTGGAAACACGTTATAACTACCAGGGCTAAATTCTGGGCATTGTCACCATCTATAGAAATTAAAAATCTCCGCGTGTGTTTCATTCCGTCTTATTGTGCTTAGATGTTAAACCCTGTTTCTTTTCTTTACTTTTTGTTAGAGTTTATGTTTTTTTTGACTGCGATGGAGATGCTTGTGATGAAATCTCTTGTATTTGCGGGGGTTTTCTTCGGGCCTTCCGTTTTGCTCACTACTAAGGACCCCTGTCCTACGCGCAAGCGAATTATTGAAATCAAACTGAACCACATGTTAGTCCCGAAATGACCCGGTTTGTGTCGAGTTAAACTCTCTCTCTCTCTTTCTCTCTCTCTCTCTCTCTCTCTCTCTCTCTAATGAAATACTTACAGCAGGCATAGGCCTACGATATTTAAAGGTTTTCGGAAATATTTGTAGAAAACTAAAAAAAAAAAAAAAAATACCTTCTATGAAATGCATGTACTTACATCAGGCTGACGATTAAAATCTACATCCATATATTTAAATCCGGACTCTGGTTTGAGTACATATGCATCATTTTTACAGTAGAAGGTGCCCAATAGTTGACATGTTTTATTTTTATGGTAATTAATAGATAAACATCTAGCATCAGTAGCACATAGATTTACACACATTACAGAAGAGGTCAGTTTTTCTTCTATTGGTACAACATCCAGATAGTGATCTGTAGAAGTAACTGCTCGCGCGTTGACGTATCTGATAGTAGCTGACACATCCGTTGATGTAGCTACTAATAATAACACTGTGCTAAACGGAATTAAAAAGTTCATCTTTACAAGTCTTTAACTCAAAATCTTTCAAGAATACTTCCAGTTAAAACTCCTCTGTCAACTCAACTCTCTCCCATTCATTTACTTTAAATGAGCTGTAAAATTGTTAAACATCAAATGGCCATTTTATATACTGTAATAAACCAGTGGAAATCGGGTTTAAATATAAACAATATTTATTAGTCAACCACGATATCGTTATTATACGCGCCGATAGCTTTAATGAATTTATTGCTCAAAATCACACTATGCACTCAAAATAATCGATATAGAAATTGATTTTTGGAAGCCTTTAGAATCAGAGAACACTTAGTCGTGGATGTCTTAGAATATTCTATTCAAATTAAATTAACCTTTTATAACCGTTATTTATGTGCCCATCATTGTTTACCCATAAAGATGCCTAAATTGTGAGTAGTAAGATTTCGAACTGATGTAACCGGAACTATTTTGTTCTGATTTTATGGTAGTCTAGAATATTTTTAAAAGAGTTTTTAGTTTTGAAATGTCTTAGAGATAACAAATGAGCCAACGCTTATAATAGAGGAGCTCATCAAAAGTGTAAAGTTTTATTGTTCCCCTTTGAGAGCCTACAGTTTTGTTCCTAAATTATATTCAATACCTTATCGCACTTAATAGACCATCATTATATGTCATTTTAGAGTACTCATACACATGTATTAAAAACTGACCGCCATTTTACGGTACTAAAAATATATCTGAACTAGAAATAGGATGGAGTTATAAAAAATAAATATTTTTGAACGGAAGTGAGGCACACGGTAAATTTTTACAATAAAATTTCTTGTTGTAACTGATCTAATGGCACATAAAAACAACAAAACTGAAAACAAAAAGATTAAATGGTACTAGTCACAATGAATTCCCGATGAACACTTAATTTTATTTCTTCAAGTAATGTGGAAAAATTCAACTTTAAACGAGATTGATGAATAAGCTGGTGCATAATATATGTAGAATTCCTCACACCCATTAAATTAGGCAAGTCGCTAACTCAATAGTAATATCATCCACAGTCTTCGACATTGCAAACACGACTTATTGGTCAATTTAAATCAATATTAATGTCATCTTGCCGTGAAAAGATGAGCTTCTGATATATCCAATATTTAAGACAAAATCAATTTTTTTTAAAATTGGCATACAAATCGCGTGCCAGAATGCTTTCGAGCGCCATTTGTAACGAAGCGTCTCAAGAACGAGGCTAAACTTATCTCGCAGGAAAATACTACCGGAATAACCCGACGCCAAAGACTGCCATTCAATTTGGACTTTTTGTGTATTTCGCCGTACATTACCGATTAGAAATTACAGTAAAACAGAAACGATTGAATGCAAATCAGGTAGCATGCCTACCCTTTGACGGTTAAACTTCACGCACTTACTGGCAACGCAGTATCTCATATTCACCAACAAATTGCCAATTTCAAATACGGCGGCCTCTACAGTCGAACAAAAATAATTATGTTTTTTAACACCGAATGTAGAATGCTTTCTCATTATACATTTCGAAAAAGATTCGGTGGGTGAGACACGTATTTTATTTTATAGTATCTTACGGACATGTATTTTTGGAATAAAAAGGATAGTACTTCTCTAATTTTACATTATATATTTCAACCCGATTTGAATTCAGATTAATGTTTGGGTTTTGTTTCTATTATCTTGTTTGTTTTGTGTGTGTGTGGAGGGGGGGGGGGGCAGTCTTGACGGTCATTCTTTTTCTGTATGTAGAGTAGGTCACTATGAAAAAAAGTGACCTGATGCTAGCTAGGTACGTAACACTTTAGGTTACATTACTTTGGGAAAATACATAAACCATATCAGAATCAATTTTTAAATCACCAGTAATAATTAATTTGTTCCACTTCCTTCAGATACAATTAATTTGTTCTATTTCGGGAAAGGGTATCATTTAAGCCCCTTTTTATGGTGGCTGAAAGCGTCCATTTAGATCGGCGGGTTTCTAGATACAACGCGAGAGTCGCCGTTAAGCCAGCACGACGAAAAAGTCGCCGATCGGCGCCTTTTTCGTCGTGCTGGCTTAACGGCGACTCTCGCGTTGTATCTAGAAACACGCCGATCTAAATGGACGCTTTCAGCCACCATACCTTTTGCCAAACAACCATGGTTGTCGAGAGGATGGAATCCCGACGTGGATGGAGAAAAACCTTCGATACGAAAAACAAGGTTTACCCATGAACATATTGGTTTACATGTAAAAGAACCTCGGACAGAAATTGAAAGAGAGTAGGGGGAAAGGACACTGTCCTGCAGAATTGTCTTAGCTCGTATCGTGCACGCATTGCGCTATGCACAAATATTCCTTTGACATTATGTTGTCATCTGCTAAAAGATTTATGTAAACTAAGAACACAGTGGCATTAGAAGCACAACATTGTTTTGATTAATTAGGTTATTTGGCATGATTGCTAACATATGTTTGACGGCTTAAAGGGAGGTGCCCAGCCACGTCTTTCCTAACCGATAAGTAATATGACAAAGTGATCTTTACCTTTCATCAAATTGAACGATCATTTAGGTACATAGAACTTTATGACCTCTGCTAGTTTTGATAATATATGATATTGACGTTTCACCTCTGTATAAACTTCTGTTAAAGCACGGACTGCCTACGATCTTATTAAACATCTAATTACAGTAATTCACTATGTCCTTTACAAGCTACACATGATCTGTGTATAACACTCGGCAGAACTTCATGACTTCAAAGGAAATACGCAGTGCAGTAACAGATACCATAATCTGATAAATAAACAATACCATATATGATGATCACTTTTTCCTAGTTATCGTACGCTATATAAGCCGGAGTTTGCTGACAGTTAGGCAGACGAACCGAGACAGGGCAGAGAGAGACAGAGTGACCGGCGTATGGACTCACCCGAGTTCAGCCGCTGCCTTGTCAGAGGGGCAGAATGGTGGATTTAACATAGTTATATGTGTTACTGTCATAGTCTAGTACCTGTATATTAGTTTAAGTACCTGTATTGCTGTTGTAATTATGTAGATGTGTTATATACCTGTGATCAGATTGATATACCTGATGTAAATAAATCATATATTTACTAAACTGATCTTTGTTATACTAAAATAGTGTTACAGTAATACCGGCATGAATTTCAGATTAACATTAAACATGCATTATGCAAGAGTTAAATCTGATTATTGCAAGTCTTAATTTAGGCTTCAGATGTTATAGAAATTATAAATTAGATCTTTATTTAAACAACAAGACCAAAATCAACTCTGTAGACCCACGGATGGCTCGGCTACAGCTCGGATTTAAATAGGATTTCACTAATTGATTAAATCAAATATGGGATAACCTGATGAAAATACGTCAGTTAGATCGAGGCTAAATGATAGAGTGTACTTAGCGAGGCCGCTGTAAAGCGTTTCGGTATGCCATTGAAAACTTTACTTGATAATCGAGATATGTAGGTGGAGTTAACGCCTGTCAATCAAACGATCAGCGAAGGCGAAGACACAATTCGCTACCATTTCTAGGCAAATATTACAACGATGATAACTATGTTCAGAATAAAGTAATTTGACTGAATTTTTCAATGTATTCTTCTTTCATCATCTACTTTTGAACTGTTATAGCAAGAATGGCCAACTCTCTATAAAAATCTCCCATAATGTATCTTTAATTAAAATCTTGCAGTGCAGATCTCTATTTTTAATTTCCTCGTTCATTAGAAATGTAATATAGATAATCAGAGGGGATCCAGAGAGAGAGGGGTGGGGTGGGTGGGGGGCTTTGCTCAGCTACATAATTACTTTTTATGAGAAAAGTGTCACGGTCGAGTGCTTTATCCTTTATCGTCAGATGGTGGGGTACAATGGGCACTCAAAGCCAGAGATAATGATATAGACAAATATGATATCACAATTACTTTCTGTTCCAGATGATACTATGACTCGAAACTTGCTTGCCATTTCTTCATTGTTTAATTAAATGGTTAAAACTTTGTGAAATACCTGGAATCTCCACCCAATTACTTTCTGTCTTGTGAAAACTAAGTACAAATCAAGCTATATAGCTTTTCTCCCTTGAAAAATCGTGTTTTGTTTACATCTTGGTACTGAAAACAGCCATGTTTGGCCTAGTTGTCTAGAGGAGCCTAAGAGGACAAGGGGTGCTGGGATGGCTTTAAGTCGTTTCGCTCTACTTGGATGTGTAGGTGGTGGTTTTCGTCCAGTAGCATATAACTGTTTTGAAAGAATTATTTACTGGATCCAAGACCACAGTTTTGTTTGTCCAACTGACTTGAATATTTAATTGCCCTGCGCGTTCGAGGGTTGTAACTTTTTGATATCGATATAGCTACATACAAATTTTAACTGCTGACACCTGATGGAATTTTGGAAGAAGGCTGATTGTAATAACAACCCCTTTTGTAATAAATATCAACCCCTATTGTAATAAATGTAATACAATTTCACTTAACCCCTATTGTAATAGGTTCTCTAAAAGATCTGTCGTCTGGGGATTTTGAACATCTTTTCCGTGTCCATATCAGATAAAATAATCCTCTTGATAGCATTTTTTAAAATGGAAACAACGAATCCTTTGGGAATAAAGTATGACGTACTTTACATTTATTGAAATATGTGTCACAATCCAAAAAATCAAAAGAGAAATATGGCAGCCGATATGTACCCTTTCACTCCACGGCGGCAGCTGTTCCGCGCTTGAACGAATGCCCTCTCCCCACCCTCCACCGCGTTCTCTGGAACAACTCCCCTAAAAGCATAATCGCCTCCCCACGTGACACCATAATGGGAGGATACAACTTCCAATAAGCAAATGAAGCAGAATCAGTCACAATAAATAAACAAACCAGCAGCGCGTACTCTAATAGTTAAATAACCATAAGAAAGTCGTTGACTCGACAACTATTATAGCACGTGTGCAGGTTCCTTGATTTGTCAGTGAATGTCAGTTTTAATTAAAGACGAAACGATTTTTACTTCGAAACCATCACTATATTTATTAAAAAATAGAAACCATCACACGCTCATTTATTGAACACAACAGTAATAAT